ACATCCTTTCCCTTTGTGTTAGCCCATTCTTTTTCACCAGCTACTTCTTTCTTCCTTCATGTCTTCCTCACCTTATCTCTATTCTAATGTGGCCTAGTGGATTGAGTACTGGATTTAATCTTAGAAAAGCTAGGTTCAGGACCTTCCTCTACTGCTAGATGACCTCAAGCAAGTCATTTTCCTGTCCGGTGCCTCTATCTTCCCATCTGTAAAATGGGGATAATGATACAGCCCTCTTTGAAAGCTACAGATGAAAAGCACCGTGTAAGAGCTAGGTATTATTACGCTGTGAGGTCTTGCCACCCTACCTCCTTGCCTCTGTCCCCCAAGTGATCTCTATCCCTCCTACCGATAGCCCTGTCTGAATTTCCATCTCAGTTCTCCCTCGATCTCCCATTTATTTTCTCTCCCAGATGTACCATTTTCAATTTGGACCTAAAACATATCCTTGTAATTTTAATTCTGCTCCGTTCTGCACTACCATGCTAATCTGAGCCTGATTGCGTGCCCATTTCATTCAACTGGAGCTAATCCATGGCCTTCAGTGGGTGTTGGATCAGGCCATTTGTGAGTAGTTCCATTGGTTTCAACTGAATAAGGTACTACTCAACATGAATAAAAGCGGCAGAATCTGGCCCTTAATTATTAAAATTCTGTAGTAAAGATTAGAAGGACTGGAGATGGCGGATGAGCAAGAAAGTAGTTCCTGTACCAGTAATCAGTCATTCCTGTGGCCCCTAAGACCTTGCCAAAAAAAACTCTCTCTCTCTCTCTCTCTCTGTGTATATCTATATCTATCTATCTATCTCAGGGTCTGTGTTCCCCTTCCACATGGGAGAGGTGATCCAAGCAATGAATATTCGGGGACAGCAATGCTGCCATCACGCAGGATAGTTTGACACCTCCCAATTATTCCCAGATTGAAAAATAGGTCTATTAGATAAACTAGTGTAATTTCATTTTTACATTCATGATCATTTGCCACAAAGCTATTTTTGTCCCATGACTGCATAGAAAACCTTAGCCTTCCAACAGATGGGATTCTGTGATAATGTTAGGTGAGAGAAAAGGAAGCAGCCAAAGCTTAGCAGTGTTACGTGGCTCACACTGTAGACTTTGAGTGCTTTGAGTCCTTTCTCATGTACAAAATACTTATTACTGTAATTGTAGATAAGAGGTAGTGAGTAAATGAAGGATAAAAAGCTACAGTGTAGTGTTGATGACCTTTAGCCATAACGGTCTAGGCAGTGACCTTATTCTTGAAAGCTAAGCAGGGTTGAGTTTGGATAGTGCTAAAATGGAAGACTGGCCATGCTATGTTAGGAAATGGTGGTGGTTGTTCAGTAGTTTTGGTGGATATTGACCAATGCTCCAGCAAGATGCAAGAGGGCATTATTCTGTCTTTTGGATGAGATTTAAAACTAGGTTCTAACCATTTCTGATTATTTTATGTTCCATGACACTTTTTGAAAGAACAGGGTGTTAACCCTTATGTCCTGGCCAAATATCAGTTCAGGCAATCATATTTTGTATACCTAAATATCTACTGTAGTTTCAAATGTACACAGTGGCTTTTACCCATTGTCCTAAATTATTTGTGTAAAGTACTGTGAGCTGTTATGCAGCTGTTATATTCCAATCCGCCACCATCCAACTGAGGACTTTCATTTAGAAAGCGCTTTTTTCCTCTCTTGGGAAAAGAACTGAGAAAGTATTTGAACAAGTCTGATAAGAAATGTTACCGATTTATTGTTTATGTGTAAGCTTCATATGCAAAGTTTCTATATTGGGCATATTATTAATATAAAAACAATCCCCTAATGTTACATTTAAAAAAATCAAAATCTCAGAACCTTTTCCAAATTGCTCTTATTAAAAATATTGTTTAGTGTGAACAAGAGGCCAAATTTCGCCCCTATTGTACTGTCACAAATCTGGAGTAACTTCACTGAAGCCAATAGTTATTTTGGATTCATGATGGTGTATTGATTGAGAATGTGTATTGATCCTTTTGCAGAAAACAAGAACAAGGGGACATTCAATGAAACGGGAAAACTAATACATTCAAACCTAATAAAAGAAAGTTCTTTTTCACTGGATGCACAATTATCCTGTGAACCTCATTGTCCCAAGATATCATCGAGGCCAGGAGCTTAGCAGGATTTGGAAAAGTATAACAAGACTAACCAGAGTAATAACCTTGTCTCTTTCATAAACTGGGATCAACATGGCTACAACAACACAGCAACCAGAGTAATAATAGTAATTACTAATTTATAAAAGAGCTCTGGAAGAGATATAAACCCACAAGCGTTGGGGCATAAACCAACCTCTAACTATTCAGATTTAGGAGGATACTTTCCCTGAGGGGAGGTTATTCCACAACTACTCACTGCAAGGTTTCTTCATCAGACGCTGCTGGTACCTACCACAGTCACAGACAGGCTGCTAGACTAGATGGGGGCCTAATGCTCTGAGCTGGTATGGCAATTCCAATCATTTCATGTATCAAGAATAGAGTTTGGCCTGCTGCCTTTAATTTTTTTAACAACACAGTTTAATTATTTCATTTCTGTAATTCTATAACTAGCTTCTTTTTAATTATTTAACATTTCTAACTCTGCTCTTGAGTACGATAACTTGATACGAAAGCTCTGTACATGTCTGAACAATACCTTGATGTGAGGTGCTTTCAATCAATATATAAGCTCCCCTTACTGATGTGTAGTGATAGCGCACATTATTATTTTTATGTAGCCAAACAGAGAAGCACTGTTCCGAGACAAGCAACATCCCTACAAAGGGCTGGTGACAAAACATCCATATTCAGGCAGCAAAAAATATAATATCTAAATAAAGTGATGAAAATTCAAGCCCAGTAGAAAAGATCCTTTTATCCTCTTTTACAAAAATGTCTAAAGTGAATTTTAAGCTTATGAACAGTGCTAGATTGAGAGCACTGGAGGTTTAAATCTCTATTCTCGGAGCAGCTGCTACCAGAGAAGGTAAGCAGCACAAACCTTCTCACTATATTTTGGAGGCATTCTCTTCTGTAGGGTGAGAGGGCAATTCATTCTGCATGCTCATTCAAGGCCTGATCAAATCTCATCAAAGTCAATGGAAAAACTCTCTAACTTCAGTGGGCTTTGGATCAGGCCCAGGAGCCTTGGCCTCTCTGATGAAAATTATCACTGAAGTACTCGGTACTGCTAATTGTTGTGGTGTATTATGTGACGTACATCTATGTTCAGTAAAATTAGCTTGAGATTTCAACTCATTTCACTCAGGCCATCGAACGGGTCTTGGCTAGTAGGAAGCCTATTTTTCAGTAAGAAATACAAACAAATCTGAGCCAAAGAATGATTCTCTGGAATTGCTGAAAACATATTGGCCTAAATTTTCAAAAAGATGTCCTATTAAAGCTGGCAATTATATTGGAAGTCACTTCAAAAAATTTCAAACTGTAGCTCTTCAGAGTTTAAGACTAAAGTATACCGAATAAGAATACAGAAACATTTGGGTAGCTGGGCATTCACTTAATTACATCTTCAGCATAACTGAGCACCTCATTTTTCAAACTGTGACTTAAGCATGTAACTTCATCCTGCTGCATGCTTAAAATACATTTGTTTCATTCTGTGGTTCTGGCACCTGTCCTGGTATTTGTGGGATAAGGCCTTGATTTTCAAAGGTTTGTCCCACTTCCCACAAGACTGTTAGGCCCTGATCATAGGCATAGTTTGACTTCTATATTTGGGGGCGGGAGGGCCGTTCCAGTCAGGCCAAAGAAGCTGCACGGGGGAAATTCCAAGCCTGCCTGATGCCTGCAGTTGTGGGGAGGGGGGGGGGGCAATGCCCCCCTGCCACCCTTAAACTAGGCCCATGGCCTGATCCTGCAAACGCTTACTTCATAATTTTGAGTTATCCTACTGAAGTCAATGGGACTGTTCACATCCTACTCATGCACTTAAGTGTTTGTGGGACCAGTACCTTTATATGTTATGAGTCTGACTTCACAGCATGTGTGGTGATAATGGTGTGAAGGCATTGTTTAAAAAGAACAAAGGTAAATAGTACCATACATCTAAACAATACCATATGATGTAGACAAGACACATTCAGGCAGTACTGCATTCCTTCCAGTGTTGGGCTGCCCTTTCAGAGCAAAGACTCCATAACTCCTCTGTTTAGGGACCAAATTTAAGGACAGTACTTGAGATTAAGCCTGGTGATGGGGGACGACTGCCCATCCCTTGCGCTCTATGTGGGAGTGGTGCGGGTCCTTGAGGCTCACAGAGGAAGTATGAAGAGAAATAGTGGAAGCTGGCCTGGGGAACAGCTGTTGGGCCCCAAATCCAAGGGCAGTGGGACACCATGCAAATGGCATGGAGGGTTACATCCTTTATTCCAGCTGCTAGACTGGAAGGGCAGCTCTGGTGTGGGAGCATAACTGCTTTATTATGAATTCCTCCCCCGTGTGTTTATTTATTCTTCCTCCTGGGGCACAAAAGGATGGGAGACAGTATTTTCCCCGGGGGGGAACTGAAATCAGAGGGGTATTTAAATTTACAGGGAGGGGTTGGAAAATGATTAAACTGGCAACACTGGGAAGGAGTGTAGGGAAATCCGTGATGGGGAGCGAGGAGGGGTGTCGCTGGGTGTGTTGCGATCTCTGTTACCTCGGGGGTGGAACAAAATAGGAAGGATGAGCTTTTGCTTTGTCTCCTCTCCTAAGGCTGGGCTAAGGAGCGGGCATTTTGCTGTCGCTGAGCTTCCGTTTCCCCCTTCTGAGGGATAGAGGCGGTAGGGGATTTTGCCGTGCGCTAGGCTCTCCCTCGGGAAAGGGCGGGGATAGGGTTTTACTGTGTGTGAGTGAGGCATTTAAAAATCTCCCCCGTTCAGCTTGTCGGCCCTACTGGAGAGAGCAGCAGCAGCAGCCCCCGCCTTGGGGCGGGGGAAGTCCCTGCTCAGGCTGAGGGCTGCGCTGGGTGTGGGGGAGACTCACGGGCTCCTCACGTGCCCTCTGCGGCTCCGGCTCATTAGGAAGCATTTCCCGTGAATGGGTCACAGCTGCTGCTGCAAGTATCTGGGGGAGCGAGGACCCAGCCCCGCAAACAGCCTGGAGATGCAGAGGGTGCTGGGGACGCAGCTTCTCCCCGGTCCCCAGTCGAGGAGCGAGCAGGAGTCCCTCCGCTCCTGGCCCCAGCCAGGTTCCTGCGGCAGGGAGGCAGGGTCCCAGGGTGCTGCTGGTAAATGAGCGTGGCCCGGGGGCGTGCTGGCCCTGAGAGGAAAGCACAGCGGGGCTGGGGCTCTGCTCGCCCCTGACGTTTGCCCAGGCTGGGGGTTTTACGCGGAGCGGAGTAGACTGGGCAGATGTGGTTGCCTTGTTTACCCGCAAACCGCTTCCACATGTTCGGTACTTGGGATCGGAGGTCTTGCTTTCCCCCAGCCTCTCGGAGCTGCTAGTGTGTCACCAAACCACGCCCCCTCCAGTCCGTGCCGTTTGTATTCTGAGGGTGCATTGCACACCCTGCCCCAAATCCCTCCCCCGTGGGTAGTCACTGAATGCAGTGGGGGCAGGCAGCTGTGCGCAACTCGGAAAGCGGCGTGTAAACAGTCCCTCTGATGCGAGGGGTGCACACACAACCTCCCTTCTAATCCCCACCTGTGAGCTGGGGGAGGGAGAGGAATTTCCTCCCCTCTGATACTATTCTAGAAAGCTTGCCCAATGTGGTTATGAGCTCCAGCAATTAGGGTGATAGGAAGATATTTCCCCTCTCCGGCTGTTGGGGGTGACTTTCTCTCTTGGGTGAGAAGAACATTCTTTTTGTGTTTGGAATGCTCCTCCTTGCTCCAAGTGACACTTATTGTCAGGATAGTTCCTGGATCTTCCTACCTGAGCTCTGTTTCCCACCACTGATCCCCGTCCAGTGCCACAGAGGGGGAACCGGTTTGAATACTTCCTATACCCATCCCATAATCTTCTGGTGGAGCTAACTAATGCTTAAGTGATCAGAGTGTGGGGTCAGGTATCAGCTGTCAGTGGGTGCAGCTGCTGTTGCCCCACTTTCCCCCCCCCCCCCCCCTCTCAGATCCTCCTGTTGTTTGGAGGGCCCTGGTGGCCTGCTCTCCAGAGAGGAGTCATTGACCCCACCATTGCTACCATCGTTGGGTCTCTCCTGGCTAGTTGGCTGGCTGCTGGTTGTGTCCTGGAGGAGGAAAGGGAGCTGCAGGACAAAGTAGAGGGGGGTACTGTTACTGGACTGAGTGACTGTATCGTCTCTGCTCCTGTGGTGGTGGTCGCTGTTTTGTTGTGGAGAGAGTGGGGAGTGGCCTGGTCAAGAGGTGCAGCACTGCGCTGGCTTGGCTGCCGGGGCCTTGATTCCAGTGTAGTTCCTGCTCCTGCTCCTCTTCCCCTGTCACTGCTGGCCTCGGGGTGGTCTTGTTTCCTTTTTACACTGACAGCTCCTCGGAAGTGGTTTTTGTTTTCCCTTCTCCCTGTCCATCAGGGGCTGCCTTTCTCCCTCTGCTCTCGCCCCTTGTGCCAGGGATCAAGACGGGTCTGCCCCCTGTTTGCCCATCTCAGTAGGCTAATTAAGCCTTAAGTCTTCAATGAGCCCCATGTTGGCATGTGGTTCTGTCCACATGGAGCTCAGGACAGGGTCAAGGCCTCAATGTTTGTAATGTCAGTGTGCAAAGGGAACACACACATGCCAAATTATTCATGGGTCCAGCAAGTCACTTTAATATATGGCAGACTTGTCTATGCTTTTTTATTTGGAGTCTACATTTGCCTGCACAAAACCCCTGAAAGATGTAGAAAAACAAAACTAACACAAAGAACTGCACCCTGAGAAATTTTAACACTGCCTATTGTGACTAAATTCTTGTACACAAAATTCAAATCCATCTTTCCTCTGCTTCCTTACTTGAAGTGCAACATCTATGAACTTATCTATACAGTTTAAGTAGAATGAGTATAATGAATAAACTTTCTTTTTACTGATAAAGTAACTTGTAAAATACAATATTGCATGTGTTAGAAAATTTCAAAATATTTTGCAGATTCTGTGAAACTTATTTCAACAAATGCTTTAATGGACAAGCTGCATCTAAAATATGCACAAAAACCATGGATTGAAACTCTGAAACTTGTACGTCTGTGCATGGTAAGAAATATCAGCAAGTTTGTTGGCAGCTGGATAAGATGAGGGTGTTTGACCAAAGGGCAAATAACAGAAATGTCTCTAACTAATATGAAATTTTTTTTGGACTTTTTTTTATTATTATTTTTTTTCAGGTGAAGCTTTTTCATGGAGCTTTCTTACACCTACGAAAGCCTGACTTCTGTTTATTTTACAGCAATTGACATGGGTACTTTAAAACAGTGCAGGGCGTTGCTTTTCATTAACTCTTTTGGGCCAAATGCAGGCCTCATTAGGTAATCTTAGCAACTTTCATAATATTTCTTAGGGGCTTGAGGTCTTCACTCAGTTTTTGACTTCAGCGGGAGTTGGCCTCCGTAAAGAATGAATGAGCCCTAAGGTTGCGACCCCACAACTCTTAGACACCTCCTTAACTCTACGCAATGTGAATAGTCCCAGTTAAGCATGTGCATAAATCATTGCCGGATTGGGACCTACGTAAGGAGCTCAGGATTGGCCATTCGTGTGGGACTGCGGGTCAGCTGGGAGGCTTCTACTTAGATTATTTTTTTATAATTTTAACTTTTAAGGTGCCAGTGGTTTTGGTTCTCCATGTTGGTTACTGAATTTAAGTGTCTCCTTGTATAAATAATGGTGGCTCCAGTACAGTCATGAATACTGCCTAGAAGTAGCAAATCACATTTGTGTCCATGTCCTCCTTCTACCCTCGTTATTAATATTTAACTAAAATATCCTCTTAACAAAAATGAGAACATAATTTTGCTGATTGATTTTGGAGGTTTCTAGATAGTGCCTGCCAGCAAGGAGGCTTGGAGATCCTAATTTCTAATTAACGTCACATTTTCAAATATTACTTGGCCCCTGATCCTGTAAATGCTTACCCAAAGAAGTCCTTACTTAGTGCTCATTCATTTTTTTTACTCGGACACACTCTTCCTGAAGCCAAGAACTCAAAAACTTCTGGATTGGCCCCTAGGAAGCCTGGTGAAAGTAGCTCAGATTGTTAAAAAAGGCCTGCATTTGGCCCAAAGAGTTTATGGATAGCAGGCCTTGTGCTATTTTAAGTACTTAGACTGTTAGCTTTTTGTTCTCTGTTTGTACGGCACCGAGTAAAGTGGGGTCCTGCTCCACAGCTTGGGTTTGTAGGTGCTATGGTAATACAAATAATTAAAAAAGGCTTTGTCAATTGCTACAGTATTAGGGTGTCAATCCATTTAGTTCAAAGGGATTACTCTAGAGCTGAGTATTATTATTACTCATGTGCATAAAGTACTCGTGTGTAAGAGTTTGCAGAATCAGAGCCGTGGTGAACTGCTTTCACCTTCATGTGAAATTATAAAATTCTTTTTGGTGTGAAATAGCTGCTGCTTTTATTTTGGATTGGGTTTGAATCTTTCTAATTCATACACAGAATCCAGTTTCTTTTTGACTGGTGATGTTTGGAATGATCCTTTTTCCTCCCCTATTGTGCTAGGATAAACCACCTCGAGGTTCCATTTGTGTTACCCAACATCATCCTTTACTCTCTTGCTTGGAGAAGATACAGAGGACTTTAAATGGTAACAAGATATAAGAAAATTCATAATCCATTGTTGAACATTCCATGAAATTGCCCGTATTGGGGTGGGGGTGGGGAGGTAGGAGGAGAGAGCAGTGTGGTTGGGCACTACCGCGATATGAATAGAGGCTTCCAATCAGGATTAAGATTCTATTGTGCTAGGAACTGTATAAAGACAGAGGGTAGATTCAATCCCAAAGACATTACAGATTAATATTTAGGTTGAAGTTGGGTTAAAACAATTCTAAAACCCTGATCTTGAGAATTAACTCCTTCCAATAAATCATTCTTCAAGCATTGGTTAATGTTTATTATTAATGAAAAATGTTATCTCTTGTATTATATACACTAGTTAAATCATACTTTCTGAAGCCAAAAATTGCCATTTTTCCTAAAATTAAAATCTGATTAAATAATTTCCCCTTTTCAGCTAAATCTTTGTCTACTGTGATGAACAGATTGGAATTTTTATCCAAACAAAGGGGGTAAGTTTGTTTATGCATTAAGTGTAAATGAAACAGAACTGCCTCAAATCCAGTGAGAATTACCATATGGATGACTTAAAATTTTTTTTGAACTTTCTTGACTTGACATTCTAATGGGCTGTGTTATGTGGAAGAAAAAGAGGATATGTAACTGTCCCCTCTTAATAGGGTGACCATACAGAAAGCGTGAAAAATCAGGACAGGGGGTATGGGGGGGGGGAATATGTGCCTATATAAGGAAAAGCCTCAAATATCAGGGCTGTCCCTATAAAATCAGGACATCTGGTCACCCTACCTCTTAATGAGTTATTTGTGGCATTCTTAGAAGTGGTTGTTCTGGTGGGGTTGAGGAAGTCATGCAAAGACTAAGGTAAATATTTGCTGAACACATTAATAATGCAAATCACAGAAGAGAAGATCATAAGTATATTCTCTGGTTGGGTAGTTATCAGATGCTAAGCCAAGGAACAGCTATTTTAGAGCAGTGAACATTTCCAAATAAAATAAACTAGCCTTTTTCTTCACACAACAAAACTTCCAGGTATACAATGCTTTTTCCTTTTCTCTAGGTTGAAATCTCACATAAGCCCCAATGGGACAGTTTGCTATTTAACATCAGACATGTTCTATGTAGAAGTTCAGTTGGAGAAAGATGGAAAGGTGATAGATGTAAAATTGGCTCACCCTGGAGAAGCTCCTGTGGTAAAGTTGATCTGTTTTCTTTTCTTTTTTTTTTTTTTTTCAAATCATGCTCCTTGTGTAACAAAACATAATCTTGTTTTTATGGCTCTTTTTTCTGAAAGTGACTCATAATGGGATCCTTGTAACTGGCTGGAAAAACACCAACTAAGATACTTCTCTGCTACCGAACAAACTTCCATTAGACTGTTACACTAGCTGGCATAAATATACCTATATACCTAAATGTATTGATAATGTGAGTCTAGTTCCTAGAAGACACGAGTCCACATAGCAATTGATACTTCTTGGAATCCTTTTTAGCATTCTAAATGACAGTGATTCAACAGGTAGGCAGCCGGTTGAGCTATTCTCCTAGTTAGATAATGGTTTTTGTACTGCATTTTACATCTTCACAGTACTATAATGTGTTGGAGGGAGCTCTTGTGAGTTTTGTTAAAATTTTACCACCAAGCATAAGGGAAGAGTAGGGTGACTTCTCTGTTTCTTTCTTCCTCTTTAAATATTGTCACATCCAGAACTTCCACCAGGTATCTATCCCTTCTTAAAGCCCTACAAAAGTTGAACACTTATGTTCAACATACTAAATATATTCCTCAAGTGCTAAGAATTCCAGTAAAGTGCAGTTTAATTATTTTTAAAACAACGAGGAGTCCTTGTGGCACCTTAGAGACTAACAAATTTATTTGAGCATAAGCTTTCATGGGCTAGAGCCCACTATGAGAGAGGATTTCTCAGCCATCTTCAATACACGTGCACACATTCCTGCTAATGGGGATTATTACAGGGGAATCTTCTGGGAGCCCCTTGTTAAAATATTGATAGAACATCACTGTGTGTGTGTGTGTGTGTGTGTGTGTATATTAGGTGAAACAACCTGGTGGGTAAAGTGTGGAGAACCTTGCGCTGCCGCTGTCAGTGCTGTTGTTCTGTGGCTAAACGGAAGTGTGGAGGACTTTAGGGCTGTCAGCCCCAAAATGTGAAAAGAATACAAATTAACTCAAAATAAACGGGAACAAATGTGCCTAGTGAGGAAAATCGGTCATTTATATTGAATTATCTTATTAAGAATGGAAGTACATATTCAGAAAACTGCAGCACAATAGATGCCAATAAAAATGCATTTTAGAAATAGAATTTATCTTGGGTAGTTGTCAGTCACACAGCCACTCTTTTCCTAGTATTCTCATATTAAGATTCTAGCATAACTAACTATATAATATGATTTTGATTTCTTGGAGGAAATTTTGTTGAGTAAAATAATGAAGAATAATGTTGTCACCAGTAAAATGTTTACAGAGGTATTTCATAAAGGGTGCTAGGAAAGTCTCTGACCTTTTCATTTATTTTTTTCTCTAGGTTTGTGATGATCTAGTACAGCTTCTAAGGTATAGACTTGCTTAGAATTCCTTGGCTGATTGGAAGGGAACTATTGAATAGTCCTGAACCTATTCTGAAAATAATTTCTGAAACATTTAAGTTAGCAATGTATTTTAAAGGAAATAGTACAAGAATTTTCTCTTCTAAACATCCTAATATCTGTAAGCTACATATTGCTGAAAACTTCATTTTTTAAAAATAATTTTGTATTTTTAAGTATGAAACCAGAAAGTGTTTTAATTTCTTCCTTCTTCTTATCAATGTCACGTTTAAACATATCTATATTAAAAATATAAAAAAATCAGCTTTAATGCTTCATATTAGAGGGTTTTTTTGTTTTTAATTCTTTATAGCCTGTAAAATAAAGGGAAGGAAATACCTTTTGCCTGCAGTTTGTATGCTCACTTCTGGAGTAACTGCTTGTGTAAGCAGATGCGACTCCATTAAATTCAACAATGTGTATTGGCTTTTTCTATCACCTGAACACACACAATATGTGTATTTATCTTATAAGGACTGCAGGGCTACATAACACAGTTTAAACCCTTGTTTATCAAAGAGTGGACAATACATACAAAATTGTACAAATTATGGTTTTGGCTAGTAATGAAACACATGGATTCTTAAAATTATTTTCCAAATATTATTGCTACATAGATTAGCTTTTGTTGTATTCAGACCCTGAACTGACACTCCCTAGATTTTTTTTTTCTTTTTCTTCAGTTCTTCATCAATCTTCTACTGTGGCAGTGCAAATAAATCAGAATAATCTGTTCTGTTTCTTTTTCATAATGTAAAGGGGAGAAAGGGTCTTCACATTTCCACTAGTGATATTTCTAGAGGATGTTGTGCAATGGATTTAAAAATTCTTACTGCCAAATATTTCTTGACCTGTTTAAACATTTCCTGTTCCGAAAGTGACCTTCATTTTAAAGGCCAGATGAAAAGCTCATTCGATTTTAAAATCTACTTTAAAAAACAAATTTGGTCAACTGCTCTTTCCAATGAGTATATTTCAGTGAGTGTGGTATCTCACATAAGTGTGTGTGTGTTTTTTTTACTGGAATAAAAAGGACAAGGATGGGTGAGAAATGGAAGACAGAGGATACTTCTGCCCTTCTAGCTGAGGGCCTGCATTGCACATTGGTGGTCATAAACGTTATTTGTCTCAAACTGAGCGATTAACATTTTTAATTTCATACATATATCTAGTTGAGTTCAGAACTTTCTTTTTCTCTCTCTCTCACTCATTCACCTTTGGTAATAGTACCTTTATAAAGTGCATCAAATGTTTTGCTCCCAAATTATGATCTTAAAAGATGTGTAGTTACAATATGTAGTAATAAGGGGAAAAGTACATTAAACCACCCCGCTAGAGTATACCATTCAATCTAACTCCATCTCAGATATTCATTTACTTTATGGTCTTTAATTGGCAAATGGTGGACCCTATTGTAAATGTTATAAAAATGGAGAAGTATTATTACATCTTTTACATTTGTGGGCCTCAAAACACTGGTGAAATAAGATTAATAAATGTGCCTGTGAAGTACGGAAGTATTGCTATCTCCATGTTTTAGATGGGAAAACTGAGGCAGAGATAAATTAAATGGTTTGCTTAAGTTTCTGGTTGGGGAGAGAATTTGGTCTGGTGGTGAAGTCAGGAGATTGAGTCATATTCCTGGCCCTAACGCTAACTTGTTGTGTATCCTCGAGTAAATTGAGACTCAACTTGCCCGATCCCATTTACCTCTGTGATTCAATTTACTCATCCAGACTGTTTAAAAATTTGTCTATTTCACAGGGGTGTTATGAGATCTAGTGTGACTAGAAAACCTGGAGATGTTTTGATGAAATAACTATCTGTGGGGTTCATTATATTATGGGGGAGTGTTAGTGCACAACTAACTGTATTGAAACGTCAAGAAGTGCTGTTTCTAGCTGATAGATACGTATACCATGCGTGTTGATTGCTTTCATTGATGCATACTTAAGTAATGTCAGATTTAATTGCATTGCTTTGTGCCTTAGTCAAGACTTCACGTTTCCTGATATATTCTTAAAAAAAATAAATTCTTAACAACGTTGTGAGATGCCAAATACTATAACCAGGTTAACATCACTGTTTCTATGCACCATATGAAATATTTCCACCTCACTGTATAAAGCTGTATGGTGTGTTTCATTCATCCTTGGTATTTTGGCTGTAATAATTGTTCTTTATTGTTAGGATGAAGAATTATGATGCCTTTGGAAAGATTCTAGAAGGCCTGTTAAATCTGTATCAGATTCCAGGAAATAGGTTGTATCTCTTAAATACAATTATCTTTATTTGTCAATTATTTAATTTTTAATAATCTGTATTCTCTTTTCTAGTGACATGAAAGCTAAGGTATATCTCGCCTTGCAATCTTTGGAAAAAGATCTCTATTCAATGTCCCTTCTGTACAGGTAATCTTGAGTACATAATGCCTTTGGTTCATATTTTTTTGCAATATGAAATTATTAAATTGGTATAATAGAATTGCTCACAGCTGTATACATGGATATTGGGTTTTCTCCCAATGGGAAGCTAGAAATCTTTGCCCTGGTGTCACCTGCTCTTGGTGCAGTCTTTCTAGGGGTCCCAGCTTTCTCCTGCTGGTCCCCTTCAATTCACCTATAATTAGACCAGTCCATGCATTTTATAACCTAAACTGAGTCTACCAACCCTTAACATCCAGGTTCCCAGGTCTTCCAGTCTTCTTTTGTCTCCTTGTCTGTTTCTTAGAGGTAACCTGGCATGGTGCTGTTGCCCCTCTGCTATCCCAGGCCTTTCTGCCTCCCTTCTCCTTTCACAGAACCATAGAAGATTAGGATTGGAAGAGACCTCAAGAGGTCTAGTCCAACCCCCTGCTCAAAGCAGGACCAACCCCAACTAAATCATCCCAGGCAGGGCTTTGTCAAGCTGGGCCTTAAAAATATCTAAGGAACAAACTCATACACCCCTCCTCTGCCCCAACCCCCTGCATGCAATTTCCCCACCCAGATGTGGCCATCGGGCCAAAAAGTTTGCCCACCCCTACTGTAAAGCATGAATCTTATTCACCAATGGGCAGATTTGTCCTCCGCCAACCATGTGTCCTAGATAATAGGCTTCCTATCAAGCATTTAGCGGGGTTAGCCATTAACTTAGCTTCCCTCAGGGATTGGAGAACGGAGGCTACCTTATTCAGATGGGAATCCCAATTCTTGCTATAAATGACTGTCATTCAAGTACATCAAATGTTGAAAAGTAGCTGCTGTCCCATGTAACCTGGAGGGTATTGTCCTAAAATGAAATAGGCCGAGCAGCATAGAAAAAGCTGTCTTCTCCTGAGAGTCTGGCCTTAAGGGGTTCTGCTAGTACTCCTTCATCAAATCCAGAGTGGTAATATACTAGGCTTCTCCCAACCAGTATAAGAGTTCATCTACCCATGGCATGAGGTAGGCATCAGATTCTGGAACTGCATTCCCCTCTCTGAAGTCTATACAGAAATGCAGTGAGCTGACTGGCTTTAGAATCAGCACAATAGGACTCCTCCAGTCACTTTGGGATTCCTCTATTACCCCAAGTTCTAAAATGGTCCTGAACTCTTTCTTGATGATTCCCCTCAATTTGTTGGGGACTGGTCAGAGCCCTTTCTGTATTACTTTAACAAGTTCTATATTAATGTGATGGTGGGCCATGGATGTCTTTGTGGGGTGGTGCTGAGAATACTTTTGGAAAAGCGGCCACCAGTTGGAATGCCTGTTCCTTTTGCTTCAGGTTTAGGTTCTCCCTGAGGGGCACTGAGCTTTCTTTTAGGCAGTCATTAATTTAGGATACCAATTCTGGTTCCTCAGCATGATGAACAGGTTTTCCCTGGCTCTCCAGGGCTTCATCAAATTTACATGGTAAACTTGTTCCTTTTTTTTTTTTTTTTCCTTTTCCCTGGTGGTTTGACTAAATGGTCCGCAGTTCCTACCTTCTTTACCACCTCATAAGGACCTTGCCACTTGGCCATTAGCTTTGATTCAGAGCTTGGAAGAAGTAGTAGAACTATGTCGCCCATCTGGGAGGCATGCATTCGTGCCCCTTTCTTATAATGTTGTTGTTCCTACGCTTCTCTGCGGTTTTCTCTAGCCTATGCCCCCATAGCCTCCAGTCTGTCCCATAACTTTAAGACGGGGTTGGCAACCTTTCAGAAGTGATGTGCTGAGAATCATTTATTCACTCTAATTCAAGGTTTTGCATGCCAGTAATACATTTTAACGTTTTTAGAAGGTCCCTTTCTATAAGTCTATAATATATAACTAAACTATTGTTGTTGTGTGTAAAGTAAATAAGGTTTTAAAAATGTTTAAGAAGCTTCATTTAAAATTAAATTAAAATGCAGAGCCCCCCAGACCTGTGGCCAGGACCCAGGCAGTGTGAGTGCCACTGAAAATCAGCTCACATGCCGCAGGTTGCCTACCCCTGCTTTAAGACATAATTGTACTATGTGTTCAGCTCTTGGAACCTGGATTTTCCATGTTTCCCTTACCGGGTCTCATATGCCTCTTGCCCAGACAGCAGTTTGCATGGTGATGCTTGAGATATTTCCCTGATGGTGGAGAATAGGGTCAAGAGTAGTCAGTCCCAATGTCGAGTGCCTGGATAATGAATTTATTGAGCATTCTCCTGAGCATCTGATTAAATCTCTCCTCTAGGCCATCCGTCTGCAGATGGTACACAGATGAGCATAATGCTTTGACTTTCAGTAGTTCCCAGCCCTCTCTCATCAGCCAGGATGTGAAATTTGTTCCCTGATCTGTCAGGATCTCTTTGGGAATCTCTTCCCGTGTGAAGACCTTCAACAACTCATTAGTGATAGTCTTGCCATTCGTATACTGGAGCGGCATGGCATAGTCCACAATAACAAGTATATGTTGGTGTCCAAAGTGGCCCTTCTGTAGGGCATCTATAAGCAGAGCTAGTGCTAGGCATAAGTAGATTAAGCAATTGCTTAGGGCCCCGAGCATCTTAAGGGGGCCCGCTGAACTTGCGTGTTTTAGTATTGTGTGTGTTGTGGGGGGGGGCGCAAACATATTCCTGCTTAGGGTCCCCAATTGGCTAGCAGGGGCTCTGCCTATAAGATCAATTCCTACTCATTCAAATGAGATCTCCACCAAAGGAAGGGATACGAGTAGAGCCTGCTGGACTCAGTTTGTGGCCACTAATTAGCATTTGGGGTATGATGCACAGAAATTCTTGACTTCTTTAAGGACCCCTGGCCAAGAGTATCAGTCCAGGATCCTAGAATGTGTCTTGTCCTTTCCAGGATGCCCTGCACACGCAGTTGTGTGTGTGCTGAATTTAGACGCTTGCAATGATATACCTGGGGTATTAGTAGTTGCGTCCATATCTCCTGCATTTGCGTAGACCAGGACAAGCAATACAACAAGTCTGCCTGAAAGGCAAAATAGGGGTATTCCTGTGTCCTCGGGGGATCCACCCTTTCATAGTCTTATCACTGCTACTTGCTGTCCATAGCAGTAACAGGTTATCAAGTCTGTCCTTTGTCTTCCAGCAGCTGGGAGGAAGCATCCTTCTTCCAACTTTCACTGGGCCTTTGTTCCTGTGTAGGCTGGGGACGAGAGGCTGGTGGGATGCCTAAAATGGTGGGCCTGTTATCTCAGGGAAATCTTACCCACAGACCCTGATAGGGCTGCCTGTAATCTGTCCTGTCCAGAAACCAGTCAGCTGCCTGTGTTCTCCTGGGGCTTACCCAATAAGGACATCCTGACTTGTTCATAGTTCTGGGCACTGCATCGTCAAATACCCGGTATGCTGCCGGGGCATCCCCAATGAGGCGTGGAGCAAGCCGATTGCCCACGGGGCTGGAGGCGATTGAGAGGCCGTGGCCACCCTTTCAGAAGTTACCCAGAATGACTCTGGGCCATCGTTTGTTAATATTTTGGAAAGTGTCTAGATTGGAATGGCTCCCTGAAGTATGGGAGACACATTTCCTCTACGGGCGGAGTAGCAGCAGCTGGTGCTAGTTCTGCCATCTGTTGCTACAACTGTTGCTGGTGTGGTGCCATCTGTTCGAACCGTTGCTGCGTCTGCTGCTGTTGTCCTTGTGAGTCAGCCATCCGTTGCTGGAGCTGATTTACCTCCATAGCTTGTGTGAATATAAATATATAACTACTCCTTTTTTTTTTTTTTTTAAAGCTTCCTTTTTCTGCAGGGACAGTTGAGATCAATCCCCAATTCTGGTACCACATTGTCGACTGCCCTTGGTGCAGTCTCTCTAAGGGTTCAAGGTTTCTCTTAACTGGTCCCCTTCAATTTGCCTCCCATTAGATCTGTCCATAAATTAATCTAAATTGAGTCTGTCAGCCCTTAAACTCTAGGCTTGCAGTTGTCTCTTGTCTCCTTTGCCCAGTTTCTTAGAGGCAGCCTGGTGTAAGACTGTTGTCCCTCTGCTATCTCAGAACTTTCTGCCTCCTTTTTCCTCTCTGTTCTTGTGAAGCACTGGAATGGGTTACCTTGGGGGGAGGTGGAATCTCCTTCCTTAGAAGTTTTCAAGGTCAGGCTTGACAAAGCCCTGGCTGGGATGATTTAGTTGGGGATTGGCCCTGCTTTGAGCAGGGGGTTGGACTACTAGATGACCTCCCGAGGTCCCTTCCAACCTCAATATTCTATGATTTCTTTTATAGCTGGGCTTGTTTTTCACCTGTGGGTTCATGCCTTGGCAACTGTGCAGGGGTATGGACATCCTGATTGCCTATAAACGGGGAAGACTCTTCTCCCGTCTGCCTATGCACGGTATGGGGTTTGTAAAATATATTACAAATAGGCATTCTGAAATGAAGACAGACATATGGCCAGATTCTCAGCTGGTTTAAGCTCCATTGATTTTGAAAACAAAGTGATTTATGCCAGCTTAATATGTTGCTCGGTGTTTAGTGAAATGGGGTTACAAATTTATTCATATTAAAATTGCACTGTATCTCACAGATAGGTACCCTTACAGTCCAAATGCATAACTTGTCTGTTTGTCCAGTTCTTAGATTTGCATGTCTGAGAGACAAGGTGGGTGAGGTAATATCTTTTATTGGACCAACTTGATTAAATTGGTCCAATAAAAGAGATTACCTCATCTACCTGGTCTCTCTAATATCCTTGGACCAACAAAGCTCCAACACCACTGCACGTCTAAGACAGACTTGGCTATGCCATGAACTATAATCTTCCTTATCATTGTGCTTGGTAAACTGTCCCCTCCTATAGGTGTAGTTCCCAGTTTGGGGCCAGCAGAAGGGCTTTTTCTTTTTTGGTGGGGGTCACCTGGCTGTAGTGTCTGAATTTTGGGGGCAGGGTGCAAGGAGGTGTCCTAAGTAAAAATGCCTTAAGTGTGAGTGTCTCTGTGGGAATCGGGAGTTGTGGTTATAAGTTTCAAGATTGTGGAAGCTTTAACCTATCTTTCCCTATGTCTAAACTTCCACTGTGACTAAACTAAGCTAGAGAAAGGAAAATAAGCTAGAGCAGTAGTTCTCAACCAGGGGTATGTTTACCCCTGTGGCTACTTAAAGGTCTTCTGGGGGTACTCAAGTCCTCTAGATCAATGTTTCTCGACCTGGGGCTTGCAGCCCCAAGGGTGGTCATGGGATAGGTTTAGGGAGGTCACAAATGCAGGGCTGGCATGAGGAGGTGACAAGCAGGGCAACTGCCCAGGGCCCCATGCCACAGAGACCCCCTGCGAAGCTAAGTTACATGCTTCAGCCTCAGGTGGCAGGGCTTCAGCTTCACTGCCAGGTGGCAGGGCTTGGGCTCCAGCCCTGGGGCGGCAGGCCTTATGCTTCAGGTAAGGCTCACATGTGAACTACAGGCTCAAGTATCATACTGAAATGTAAGTACAATATTTATATTCCAATTGATTTATTTTATAATTGTATGGTAAAAATGAAAAAGTAAGTCATTTTTCAGGAATAGTGTGCTGTGTAGCTTTTGGGGGCCTCACAGTCTATCTAAGCTCTAGCAATGAGATTGGAGGTGGCTAAGGAAAAACTTGCCACCAGACCAGTTTACACCCTCGAAATTTGTTGAACAAATTCCCCCTTTTCCAGAAGCATGTGTGTGCGTGGCAGACGGGGATAGAGAAGGTGGTGCCTATGACACTAAGCACCCCTGTAGTCACACCCTATACACTATCGTAATAATCTTTGTACAAAATATGCCTTGAAGGGTATCATTTGAAAACTAATAACTCACAGGGCAATAATATCATGGCAAAATATATGTAGCAACATTATATGTATAGTTATGAAATCCACCTGTACATAGGTGCCGACTTCCCCAGTTCCTGGGGGGTGCTCAAGCCCCACTCTGCCCCAGGTCCTGCTCCCTCCCCCCCGCCACCTCCTGAATGCTGCTGAACAGCTGATTGTGGAAGGCAGGAGGCGCTGGGAGGCAGGTGGAGGAGCTGATCCGTGGGGCTGCTCGTAGGTGTGGCGCACCCATGGAGTCGGCACTTATGTCCCTATATGATGTTCTTAGCACATGTTCAAAACCACACAGCCCTGCCTAGGCAGAAGTTGTTAAATAGGTCTATCCTATATCAAAGGAATGTGTGTTTACTTCAATTTACATATAAGTAATAAACAGGGTCCTCCAGAAAGCATGGGGAGTAGATGGCAGGAGACGAAGCAAATTTGCATTTTAGTTAGATTAAGTTTTAGATGCATATTTTCACTTTTATTTGCTGGTAACTATTTCTAACTTTATCTCTTACACTTGAATTCACTTAAAATCCTATCTTCTTTTGTTAAACACGTTTCATTTTTTTAAATACAAACCAATCCAGTGCTGTGTTTAAACTGAACTGTTCAGTAATCCGAGTTAAAGTGGCAGATTGGTTTCTCCTGTAAAGAGTTGATAGTCAACATTCTTAATACCTAAACTGCCCAAGAGAGGGCTGGATGGTGCAGAAGACACGTTTTTGGGTAAATTCAGTACTGGAAGTGTGTTGGGGTCACCCTGCAAGTAGTAACCAAGGCTGCTGGAAGCCAGAGTGTGACTGGTATGTTGCTGACAGGCCGCTGGACCAGAGCTGCAGCTATACTCAGTCACTCAGGGTGTGACCTGCATACTAGCAGGCTGTTTGTGAGCAGCCCAGGTTGGGAGCTACAAGAGCAAAGCATTGTGAGGCACCCAAGATTTCAGGGCAGGTGGTGATACGACCCCTCATTGGTCTGGATTGCACCCCAGAATGTGACTCAGCCTCCTTTCTGGGAACCCTGAAAATTGAAAAGACTGTTCTGGAGACTTGTCTACTTGACTTGCTTCATCAAACAAGGTCCTGCTGTAATGTGAGAACATACAGTTAGACTATTTTTGCATAGTGTTTCCTTATTAAGAACAGTCATTTCTTTTTGAGCTAACATGCTGTGTCCTCACTAGTCACCAATCTGTCAGCAAATATCCTGAGCAGTTAACTATGAATTGATGAGTAAGCTATTTGTATGGCTGGGTAGATCTTTCAGCCTGTTACCATTTTGCAGCTCATTATTAAATACTTGCACTGTACATGAGTTGAAGTGTGAGTCTTACTTGAGTACCGGTTTATCCAAGTCACTTATACTTCCTCCCACCTTGCCCTTGCAGTACTGTGTCTGTCATTCCAGTACTTTCATCACCCCCTCCCCCACCTCTTTAGAGCCAGGGGTGTACAAAACCAAAACATGTGTAGGCTTGCTGCATATTTAAAATTTGACAAAGGAGCAGAGTGAGCCCCAGCTGAAGCTGGAAATACAAGTGTTAAGACCATGCATGATGCCACTAAGAGACATAGGGCAGTGGTGAGTTAACTGAGAGAATTTCTGAAAACTACCATAGAACTGCACAAAACCTAAAGCCAAGGCAATCAAAAGAGAAGAGAGAATATTTAATGGAGTGAAATGGCTTTATATTGATTTAAATAGCACTGTCTCTCTAGAACCACTGATCTGTGTGTATTTTGTAAAAAAATTAGAACACAAGATGTAAACAGAGTTACGGAAGTACTTCATGGAAAAGCAGGACACCTTGTGCCAAGAACTGGAGGTAATTTTTTTGTTTAGATTTAAAAAAACAAACCCCAACTTGAGTAAACAGTGTGCCCACAGCAAAGATCCTTCAGTACTGAGCTGCATCATTAGCTATATTTATTATTTGTTTTGGAGTAATGCTTAATGGGGGTTCTGTATTCCTGGGCACTGTACATTTACAGTAATGAAAAGATGCTCTGGGGACCATATAGCTAGCATATTCCAGCAGCTTGATAACATACCATCTTAAAAACAGTGCTGCTAATTTTCTGATGTCATGTGGGGAATTTTGGGAGTAACTATGAGACTCACCATAGTTGCAACAGTGATACTGTTGCTTGCCTAAAAAGGGGACTAACTCGAATTGATGGGTTTTAGCACCTTGTTCTAGATCATCATAGATTGTAGTCAACAGGGGCCTTGGGCTTTAACTGTCAGAATTCAGACATTTGCATAAAATGTATTGTGAATACACGTTTTTGCTATGCTGAGCTATTGCTCAGCTCCATATGAAAGTCCCTTGTCTATGTATTATTACTTTCTTTCCTCCCCCAAGCAGATGAGTCAATTTTTAAGAAACTTTATTTGTGTATTCTAGTTGGATGTTCGTTCCAAATTCTAACATTTAAATATTCATATTAAGAAGAGAGATTAAAATATTGCTAAATTCAATTGCTAAATTTTCAAGTCTGAATATGAGGCTCTGTAACAATTGAAGTATAATAGACCTTTCAAAATATTAAATTGATTCTATACATTTCTCATTGAGATTTTAGCAGTAAAATATAATTCAACACTATAATGACTTGAACATTACTTACAAATGTAAGTTTTTGAGGGTGTATTTTTACTTTTGCACCCAGTTCTCTCAAGGATTTTTTTTTTTAACTGCCAGCTCAAAATTGATGATGATTTGTAGTAAGCAACTGTAATTTTTAATTCTACTTCAGGGACCCCTATGAGCATTGAATATTATCTATCTCCCTATCAAGTTCTGGAAGAAGAGCTGAATCCTGGTAACAATTTAAAATAGCTTATTTTTTTTAACTGGACTTTAGTTGTTACAGTTGTAGTCTGAAAAGAATCAAGTATAGTTAAAGGGTGAACTCGCGAAGTGAATACTAGTGAAGTAACTATCTTTCTACAATATGAGTTCCCTTTTGACCAGAAGATTGCTAAATGGAATTGGAAACAATTTAGGGCATAGATTCTACTTCTTGTAAAAGTTTCACTACATCCAAGTTCATATGTAAAAAGGTTCCTTGTAAGTTGAACAATTATAGAAATACCATTCTAGACATTGGTTCTTCATGATTGGCACTAAGGTGGGAACAAATTAACTTGTAAACTGCTTGTTTAGCAGAGTCCAGAAAGATGCATATAGTTTGCGGCAAACGGAGCCCTGTGATGCACTTATTTCGTGCAGGGACATGATCATTCAGGAAACTGGAGACTTTGCCACTTCTAGGTTGCTGGTACTAATAAAGACGAGCATGGGAGCAACCAAAAGTCATTCAGTAACCTGTGTGAAATGGAACTGGTGGTCTTTTGGTCCTTAGCGAAGAGATGTTCATGTCACAAAAGAGCATCAGCTATGATGGTCAAACTGGCATCTTTGGCAATCTGGGTTAAGGCAATCTTTGGCTAGGTGATGGAGATCTTGCGTTGTAGCTGTCTAGGTTGTGCCGGCACAATAGATGACCTGAAATACACCAGGCCTTCTAGGCTGGCATCTTTCACCAGCACTATGTTCATCTATATTTTCATAAGGGAAAAAAATGCACTGACTCATATCTGTCTTCTCTCTTCCTTCAGGCTCCCAAGTATGTGGAATAAAAGTATTTGTAACTGTTGGAAGTTCAAACACAACACACAAACTTCCCATTTCTCCGTTAATTGTGGATTCTCAGACAGGAGATGGGTGAGATTCAAAGGCACGATTGACATTTCTGAACATAAAAATGGACTTTCAAATCATTGACATTAAACCCTCACATCATTTGTATTGATCCTGTGATCATATAATAGAGATGCAAACCCATTATTAGACAAGAGCAACACTACTGTATTGACGGCATTATCCGTCTTTGGAGCACTCTGCATAATCAGATGACTGTTTTCCCAAAAGAGTTTTTAAAATTATGTCCAAGTTCATATTAACTGTATGAATTCCATGGAATCACAGATCTTAAGATCAGAAAGGATCAATGAGATGATTTTGTCTGACCTCCTTTACAACATAGACCAAAGAACTTCATCCAGTAACTCCTGCATCAAGCCCCTAACTTTAGATTTATTTAGGGTATATAAATTAAGTGTATTGTAATTAAATTGTGTAATATTTTAAACTGTTTGCATGACCATTCCTAGGACAGGTTTCAGAGTAGCAGCTGTGTTAGTCTGTATTCGCAAAAAGAAAAGGAGTACTTGTGGCACCTTAGAGACTAACCAATTTATTTGAGCATAAGCTTTTCGTGAGCTTACAGCTCACTTCATCGGATGCATTCAGTGGAAAATACAGTGGGGAGATTTATATACACCCCTCACTGTTCCTAGACTTCTTGTCAACTGGTGGAAATGGCCCACCTTGATTATCACTACAAAAGGTTCCTTCTCCCCCCCATGCGCGCTCTCCTGCTGGTAATAGCTCATCTTAAGTGATCACTCTCGTTAGAGTGTGTATGGTAACACCCATTGTTTCATGTTCTCTATGTATATAAATCTCCGCACTGTATTTTCCACTGAATGCATCCTTTGAAGTGAGCTGTAGCTCACGAAAGCTTATGCTCAGGTAAATTTGTTAGTCTCTAAGGTGCCACAAGTCCTCCTTTTCTTATTCCTAGGACAGCATCATTTAATCTGACTGTCTGAACAGGTAATACAAGGGGTAGGCTTGAGGGGAAACTCCCCTCACCTCCTACTGAAAATGAACCACAGAGCACCAATTTAAAGCAAGAATCCTTGTATACTGCTCTGCCTGGTTTTTTTGGCTCACCTTCCTTCTTTGTCAATCTTCATATAGACTTTGCTTTATGACATCTAGTCTATACTTGCATTTTCCAGAGGGAGATTTTTCTTGAGGTGGAAAGAGTATCATCTATACCATTTTACCCGGACACTAAGAATCCTTGTCACAACAGTGTCTTCTTTAACAAGCTTGCCTTTCTACCCTTTCTTTCCCAGCAACCCTGCTTTTTTACCACTGACTGATGAACTCAGCATGGATTTGTCCGCTTGCTTTTTCTTGACGTTTCATCAGCCTTTTCCTATGTCCTCATCCAATATTCAAGAGATACAGAAGTTTACAGGCATGTTTAATTATCTGTAAGATTAAATATTTTTGAGTATTCTACATAGCTTTTCCTTTTTACCTCCCTCATGCTAATTTTGCAGGAGATGTCCAGATTTTCTACCTTCTCTGTGAAAGGAATACTAATCAGAGAATTTTCTATCAGCTCAGATGTGATTATCACATTAATAATGTGATAATCCATGTAAATGTGACCTGACATTGGATAAAAATATGCAGAGGGCCAAGTATAGAAATGACAATATAAGGAGGATTGATAGCCTTGTGAGTAAGGCACTGGACTGGGACATGAGAAATCAGGATTTAATATGAAGCTATGATAGACTTCCTGTGTGAATTTTGGTCAAGTTTCTGTGCCTCAATTCCCAGTCTGTAAAATGGGGGTATATACGTCCCTATGTTCTTTATGATGACTCTGTAAAAATGGAATGAACATTTTCCATGTCTCATGAATAATTACAAATTAATCCAGAAATACTAATTTAAAAATTATCTGGCTTTAGGAGTTCTGATTGATGGACTGAAGCTAGCTTCTCTTCATGCATTGATTGTTCAATTTACCCTTAATGATGAGTACAAGGAAGATCTGTCCATGAATAATTCTTGCTTCTTTGTGGTATGTATGTTCTGACTTTTGATACATGCAAGTCATTTTGCTCTTATTCTTTGTCTGCATTTATGTGGCTAAGTAAACACTTTTGGTCTGTCAGTAAGCAATGCCAATATTCAGGAATCCTGACACAACTGAATGTCCATCAGGGAGTATATTATTCCAGTTTTTTTTACCTCGGTCAACCTGCTTACTTTAAACAATTTAAGGCAATTTAACACCTTCGTAAAGGTGACAAAGGAGACACTATTTTGTGTATAATAACTGGAGTCATGTCAATTGTATGTAGTGATGGTGGTGATAAAGCATTTAGCCTAACTAAGTTTATCTCCCACTTTCCTTCTAATTTCTTCAAAAGCAGAATTTGTCAGTGACTAGTCTCAAATCTGAGATCCTCCAGTATATCCAAGATGCTTCCCAGCTAGATTTTCATTTTAAAATAGATCCTGTCACTCCATTTTAAATCTGATTAAAAATAGAATTCCCTACTGCACAACCATAAAAGTAGTGAATTTACGATTTGTTATAGTCTTTATTACGATGAATGGGAGAAAGAAGAGTGTAAAATATTAGTCACCCCTTCAGTTAATTTGATTATACATAAATTTAACTGATTTCTTTTTGAAATGTTTTTTTCTGAGTTTTGTTTTTTGGTACATAGTGGTTAAAATAATAGTTTCAGAGGTTTCAGAGTGGTAGCCGTGTTAGTCTGTGTCAGCAAAAACAACGAGGACTCCTTGTGGCACCTAGTTTGTATTATGTTAGCTCCTAGACTGAGGCTGTTTTGCATATTTACAAACTACTTGAAAATAACCTTAAACATAAATGATAAAGACTGCCCAGATTTAGTACTGGTGTAAGATGTTGGCAGGACAGCCCTGGTAGATGAGCCTCTTTATCTACGGACCTGTGGCAGGGATAATTTCCCACATCATCCGCTTTGCTAGCATGCCTTAATTCTGAAAGGGGAGAAGAGGGCACTTCCTCTACAGATAACGGGTATCTACATGGCCCATGTAGTTCTTGGTCGCCGCAATATGGCGGTTGTGCAGGGCAATGGTGGGTGAGTTTACAATGTGATAGCTGCAACCGAGATCCACCAAAGACCTCCTCTTTAGAGGCCACTACATATCTATTAGATGGAAATAACTTTAATCTCTACAGAGCTGTGCTGGATATGGGTGAGAGACTCTGTAGCTTATTAGCAATGCCCTAAGGCATCCAGTTTCCTACCAAGTGCTTATGTTGCACCTTCAAGAATGAAGACTTTCTTTCTAGAAAAATAAGCTTATTAAATTAAGTGCTGACCTTTTTGGAGCTTACACAGGGAGGGTCTTCCTCTCTCTCTCTGGACACAGGGTAAAAGGTTCTACACCTGACCCTGCTCAATTGCTCCTTAATATGAACTCAATTAAGTGCACTGCCCTGCTCTTAAAGCAGCAGCTCCCATTTGACCAAGACAGAAACAGTAAGGTTATGTCTACACAGCAAATGAAGGTGTGATTGTAGTTTGGGTAATAATAGTGAAGACAAGGCAGCATGGACTTCAGTGTCAAATAACAACCCAAGTAGGTGTCTAGGGTCTCCAGAGGGCTTGTGCTAAGGTGGGCTAAGATGCCGCATCTTCACTGCCACTGTTACTTATGCTAGTGTGGATTTTCTTTTGCTTGCTACAATCATACTTTATTTGCTACACAAATATGCTCTAAAATTACATTAAAACAAATATTACATCTAAATAAACTTCCAAATACGTTTTGGAACATAAAATGGCTTCAACAATTATTCCAGAGTCTTTACACTAAAAAGGTCATATCACCTTTTTCCCTTCAAATGAGTCACTAGATGGGTTTGAACCCGCACCCTTTATATCGGCCCATGAACTTCTTCTAGTTTGGCTATAGGAGCAATTCAGTGGCAGAAACAAGTTATTTGGTAGTTGGACTACCCCAAGGTGGTAGATGCAATACATGATCTGCCAGTCAGTTACACGATTGTTTGAGAGACAGTATGGAACACTGGCATGACTGGGGCCCTAGTGGAGGCCAGCTATGGTCACTCAGTTAGGGTGAAGTACAAAGAATGGGGCAGACAATCCTCATAAAGCTGGTGGATATTCCAATACTTAGATTTACCAAGCCAGCATAAAACAGCTTCTTTATTACCTTCCTGGTAACTCAGAAGTCCAAACAACACAGTTCCCTTAAAGTGATCCAGCCTCAGGTTTCCCTCCAGGTACCCATGTCAAATATGATGATCATTTCTGTAAATCTTATTTCATCATATAAAAGAAAAGGTTCTACCAATGCCAAAGGATCGGACACATGACCTCCCAAGTTATTGAATATTCTAGATCTTACCCAAATACACACTACAGCCACTTCTTACTAACTAAATTAAACTTTTATTAAAAAACAAAAGAGAGAGTATGGTTAAAAGATCAGTATACATACAGACATGAGTTCAATTCATTTAGATGCAGATTCATAGCAGAGATGATGAGCTTTGTAGTTGCAAAGAGTTCTTTTAGAAATAGTTCATAGGTTATTGTCCAATGTCCAAGTATCATATTCAGGACGTACCAGCATAACTGGGACCTGAGTCTTCCCCTGATGAAGCCTAAGCAGATTTGAGATGACAGAATCGGGACCCAAGGATCTTTTATACAATTTCATGTCTTTTGACAAGTTGGAGTTCAAAAGGTAATTAGCATGACTTTGAGGGAGGTCCATCACCGGTACTTGGCTATAGAATTAACATAAGGCAATTTGTTTGTTCCTCCACCATTCACAGATTATTTGCTATACATTTCAAAAAGAGATGAATACAGAGCTATCCTGTGTTTACAATTCATTTAAATGCTAGGATTTTCTTTTGATCTCTGAATTATCAGAATACAGCGTAGATAGGGACTGTTGATTCCATTGTCGGCCCTACTCATACATACGTAAATACACAAAAACACAAACATCTCCCCACATGTCTTTTGAGGGTTATTTATTTTGCAGGATCTTTCACCCTTTCTAGCCATGCATCAGAACTGGTTATCAGGATTCCTGACTCTGGGGAAAGTGTGCTAAAGAGATAGCACAGCTAAGCACATTCCTTCTGAAAGGCAGTATGGGAAAGTGAATGAGATTAGGGTCTGTCAGGTGAGAGCACTCTGTTCATGGCTCGGCCTGAAATGTCCTCTCTTTCTGTTATTTTACCTGTATAATGACTGACTGATACTAGGTTCTCCTAAATTAAAGGTAAAAGGCTGTTAATTTCTCTCTGACTTTCACTGCCCTTATAAGAACAACTGAGACTAGAACTCATGGTCTCTTGGCGTGAAGCTCAGTGCAGATTATCCTGTGTTAAAAGGTATTTTACAGGAGAGGGGCTTGGTCTCAGTTGACTCAGTTTCTGAGTGATATTTTCCAGGTGCAACCAGGGATTTCAGATTTGACAAATGTGTGCCCCACAAAAGACTTTTTTGGTACCAGATCCGTTGTAACATTCTGGTATCAGGACTAGCCATCTTGTCTTTCCAAGTTTCCATTCCTCACAAAAATAAGTTTTTCTTTGTCAGTCTCTTCCAGATTGCCCGAAGCACAGTTATTTCATAAATAAGGGCACAGAGAAATCAGGTATAACAGGAGCCCTTGTCAGTAAAATTCCATTTACCCATCCAAAGTGTGTGCCTGCTATAATTGAGATCCTTCGGCATCAAGTGACATATAACACTCTTATTGGCAGCTGTGTCTCCGAGAACACTACAAACGAAGGTAAATTGTATGTTACGAAGTACAGCGTGTTTCTCTGTAATAGTCTACTGATTGGTTTTGTATTTGTAAGTTGGACGTTCCCACCACAGCAGGTGCATTTTCCAAATCCACTGCTATTTACAAATTGTTTGAAATGACTGAACTTTTTATCAGCATTCTTAATTTTTGTGTAGGGCTCTGTAGGTTAATTATTTTCAAGTAGCACACCCATGTTTGACCCAATATTTAGTTTCCAGAGGCACAAACTGAACTGCAGAGTGACCATAATTAGATTCGGAGATGTCAGTGTTTTGAAGGGCTAATGTATAATTCACTTAAATGGGGCTAAGCTTAAATAAACCAAGTTATTAAATAAAGTTACTGCCTTACAGATTGCTCAGAGCTGCTTTATTTTGAAGTGTCTCCACAAAAGGACACTAGCTTTTCCATCTCATTCCAGCATCCTATGGGAGAGAGTTTAGCCTGTGGTAAGTGAGGAATATTCAACACTGCTATTTCTTTGTATCAAGTTTACAAATATCTTTGTTTTGTCAGGACATGGGTTTCAATTGTAAATATGCACAGTGTACTGTGAATCTCAAAAATCTTCCTAAGCTTCACTCTTCTGCGTGCTTATGTATATAAATAAACTGGAAATGCTTTAAGGTTGCCCACCTCAAAACAAAGAGTCAGGAAATGTAAAAGAATTAAGGCCCTGGTTCTGGAATGCATTGAACATGGGTAGACAGACTCCCATACCCCCATGGAGCTCCACTGAAATAAGTGAGATTGGGGCTTATAGTTCCTACAGCAATAGTATTTGAGCTATATGAGCACATTCTGTTTATTATGGTAAATATAACCATTAATATTAAATGTTACGTGTCTTAATTTCCATACTTGGATCAAAGGGAAATGTTCAGGGGTTGTAAATAATATTGCTAGACCTTTGTCAACGCACACAATTTTGAAATGTCCATATTTTTTCCTATGCAGTGGTAGCTGATGTCTTGAGCTCCAGACAAATCAGATGCAGTCTTCATACAAATCCTCAAGATGTAACTCTAAATTGCTGCAATGACTTTATCACAAGAGTCATGGAGCGGTAAGTGTTCTACTCTAAAATGTTTGGGACCCGTATAAATTGTCTATTAATTGTAGTAATTTTTATGCATATTCAGAAAAAATGTAAAAACTACCATCCCTATGATCAAATGAACTTGTTGTCTTTTTGCATTTACTAAAGTATATTTTTAGTTCTCAAAGAAAGGTCACTTTTTTCTTTGCATATCGTATTTATTCATTTACCCAATTTGAATTAGTGATATGTTCATTTACGCTAGCAGTTCTTGTGTCTGCAACTAAGACTTCTTTACAGTAGGAAGTGGAAAAAACATTTTGCAAGTTAGACATTTATTTTTATCCTCTTGAAAGGGGCCCAGTGCTAAGCTGTAGATACATCTGCTTAGTCACACAACAGGTACAGCAGAAGTAGTTGCAGTGCAAGTTTTCCCATGCTGTCTTAGCATCATGTGCCTCCTGTTTTCCAGAGGGCACCACCTCTGTGGAGTGAGCCGTTCATTTTCCATGTCTATTCAATTCTTCCCTTCTCTACTGAGATGAAGGGTCTAAATTGTGTGGGGCTGCTATGGAATGAACATGCATACACTAAGTGGACTGAGACCACTAATTCATTTCATGTAGGTCAGTAAACAGCTGTCCAATTGGCTGTAAGTTGGATGTAGGCTGGACTTGAACCATGAATTTAAGCAACAAGATATGGAAAATTGCTGCTGCAGCTAGAGCATTGTACACTTGGGCTCCTGCTATTGCTAATTCTGGTTCAGCTGAACTAGTAGTAGAGACGGTAGAAACCCCCTTTTTTGTAAAAACGGCCCTAATGTGGATAAGAAGTCAGGACTGAGGCTCTGTATTCTTTTAAAACTTCATACAACACATGAGAATGATCTTAAAATCTATAGTTTTCTAATTGTAAGGTGAATGCTGTCAACTTAAGCGCTCATTAAAAGTAAAACCGTAAATCCCAAACTTGGAACTACCTAAGAGTATGTCTACACTATGAAATTAGGTCGATATTATAGAAGTCGATTTTTAGAAATTGATTTTATACAGTTGATTGCGTATGTCCACACTAAGCGCATTAAGTCGGCGGAGCGTGTCTTCACTACTGTGGCTAGCATCGACTTACGGAGCGGTGCACTGTGAGTAGCTTTCCCACAGTCTCCACCGCCCATTAGAATTCTGGGTTAAGCTCCCAATGCCTGATGGGGCAAAAACATTGTCGCGGGTGGTTTTGGGTACGTGTCGTCAGTCGCCCCTGCCTCCGTGAAAGCAATGGCAGCCTTTTTTTTCGTGCCGACGCTATACTGCTTTCAGCAGATGGTGTAGTAGGACTGCTAACTGTTGTCATCCACCTCTTCCCCTGCAACTCTGCTCTGCCGCTATTGTCTCTATAGCAAATTTCTCCATGCTGTCTGTCATGGGCTCCCGGACACATGTGATCTTCCTCGGGAAATGTGCGTGGTGCTAAACCGTCATCGTCCACCGCTTCCACTGCAACTCTGCTCTCATGAATCCACCTCGCAGGTCCTGTCGTTGTTCTCTATAAATATCTATTCTCGTGGCATCTGTTGTCAGCCACTGCTTCTGCTGCAACTCTGCTGCAACTCTGCTCTCCTGCAGACTCCATACCACGGCAAGCATGGAGCCTGCTCAGATCACTGCGGCAATTATGAGCATTGTAAACACCTCACGCATTATCCTACAGTACGTGCAGAACCAGAATTTGCAAAAGCAGGCGAGGAGGTGACAGCAGCACGGTGACGAGAGTGATGAGGACACGGACGCAGACTTCTCTCAAAGTATGGGCCCCGGCAATTTGGACATCCTGGTGGCAAAGGGGCAGGCTCATGCTGTGGAACGCCAATTCTGGACCCGTGAAACAAGCACAGACTGGTGGGACCACATAGTGTTGCAGGTCTGGGATGATTCCCAGTGGCTGTGAAACTTTCGCATGCGTTAAGGGCACCTTCATGGAACTTTGTGACTTGCTTTCCCCTGCCCTGAAGCACAGGAATACCAAGATGAGAGCAGCCCTCACAGTTCAGAAGCAAGTGGCGATAACCCTGTGGAACCTTGCAATGCCAGACAGCTACCGGTCAGTCGGGAATCAAATTGGAATGGGCAAATCTACTGTGGGGGGGATCCAAGTAGCCAACGCAATCACTGAGCTGCTGCTATTAAGGGTAGTGACTCTGGAAAATGTGCAGGTCATAGTGGATGGCTTTGCTGTAATGGGGTTCCCTAACTGTGGTGGGGCGATAGACGGAACGCATATCCCTATCTTGGGACTGGACCACCTTGGCAGCCAGTACGTAAACCGCAAGGGGTACTTTTCAATGGTGCTGCAAGCACTGGTGGATCACCAGGGACGTTTTACCGACATCAACGTGGGATGGCTGGGAAAGGTACATGACGCTCACATCTTCAGGAACTCTGGTCTGTTTCAACAGCTGACCAGACCAGAAAATAACTGTTGGGGATGTTGAAATGCCTATAGTTATCCTTGGGGACCCAGCCTACCCCTTAATGCCATGGCTCATGAAGCCGTACGCAGGCACCCTGGCCAGTAGTAAGGAGCTGTTCAACTATAGGCTGAGCAAAGTGCAGAATGGTGGTAGAATGTGCATTTGGACATTTAAAAGCACGCTGGTGCAGTTTACTGACTCGGTAAGACCTCAGCAAAACCAATATTCCCATTGTTATTGCTGCTTGCTGTGTGCTCCGCAATATCTGAGAGTAAGGGGGAGACGTTTATGGCGGGGTGGGAGGTTGAGGCAAATCGCCTGGCCACTGATTACATGCAGCCAGACACCAGCGTGATTAGAAGAGCACAGCAGGGCGTGCTGCGCATCAGAGAAGCTTTGAAAACCAGTTTCATGACTGGCCATGCTACGGTGTGACAGTTCTGTTTTTCTCCTTGATGAAAACCCACCCCCTTGCTTCACTCTACTTCCCTGTAAGGCAACCGCCCTCCCCGCTTTGTTCACCGCTTGCAGAGGCAATAAAGTCATTGTTTCAAAATCATGCATTCTTTATTTAATTCATCACACAAATAGGGGGATATCTGCCAAGGTAGCCTGGGAGGGGTGGGAGAGGAGGGAAGCGCACGGGGTGGGGTAGGGGAGGAAGGAAGGACAAGACCACACTGCACTTCAAAACTTACTAAATGCCAGCCTTTTGTTGCTTGAGCAGTCCTCTGGGATGGAGTGATTGGGTGTCCAAAGAGGACCCCCCCCCACCATGCCCGCGTTCTTGGGCGTCTGTGTAAGGAGACTATGAAACTTGGGGAGGAGGGCGGGCGGTTACACAGAGGCTGCAGCAGCGGTCTGTGCTCCTGCTGCCTTTCTTGCAGCTCCACCAAATGCTGGAACATATCAGTTTGATTCCCCCAGTAGCCTCAGCATTGCATCCTGCCACCTCTCATCTTGCTCGTCCCTCCTGTCCTGGTGTTCATTTTCTGCTTTCCTGGACTCTGCCATTGTTGGCCTCCATGCATTCTTTCAGTGCAGGAGGACTGCATGAGCTCAGGGAACATTTCATCACGAGTGTGTGTTTTTTTTTTTTTTTTTTTTTTTTAAACAGTGGCTGAGACTGAGTGGTTAATGTTGTAGTGAATAATGTTCTCAACTCCTTTTTCCCCTCAGTTGTATGTCTGTCCCTCTCGTCATGAGAGCTATTTTCAAGAATGCTGTCACAATGAAAGTTGATGGTGAAATACAAAATATGGACGTTATCTCTGAGCAAAATCCTGAAGTGACCTGCAAGCAAACTGCATCTTCTAACAGTACTGGAGCAAATCTTTCTGGAGCCAGCATGCTAAATTCTGGCATGGAGGCAAGCAGCTCCACAGCCAGTACCGAGTGTGCGATTTGTGATATATCAGTATAACTAAAGCAAATACTCATCTGATGTTTACTGTGGTTCCATGTCACTTTTTTGTAGTGTCTTGAGACAATATCTATTGATAGATCAAACCGTAGAGGAGAATTTGGCAAGATCAATACTTCTGTCTAGCAGGATTTCCTCTTAGAATTAAATCTTTTCAACCCTGTAGATTGCTAAATGCAAAACAAGTTAAAATAGTTTAATGTAAATGCAAACTTTGAAAAGTGAAATGATCACTACTGTAGCAACCTTACTTTAACCCATAATGCATATATGGGCATGTAGTTTAGGTGGCTGTTTCTTAAATATCTGTAGGTGTACATATAATATAACATGCAATGTAGCCAAGTTATATTGCTGTAACCTTAAGATTGATTGTTTGTTTGTTTTTTTCTTTGTGCGGTTCCATTTACTAAACCATGATGTTGCATTTACATTTTTTTAAAATGTAATGGAAAAATTTGTAAGAAAGGTAGAAGGGGAAAGGAACTATTGTTTGAAACAGTCTGCGAGTAAGTTATTTTGTGCACAAGTGCAATTTGATGCAAATGAGTTTTGACTTCTTTGCACCATTCCCCATGTTAAATTCACTCAAAAGTGGAACTGTGCAGTAAATGAAAAGCTCTTCCCCCCCCCCCCAAGTATTGGTTTAATGTCCTCTTTCTGCAAAAAGAGTTCTGGATAATAGGGAGTTTAGGTCATACAGTTGTGCAATAAAATAATTTTGCAAATAAATGGCTATAACTTTTTAGTTTTAAATTCTGCCCAATGACTTGTCTTCATGGAGGATTAGCCTGATATTAGGCTTGAAAACTTAAAATTCAGTTGTTGGAGTGCAAAAATGTAATAGCAGAATTGTGGGGTTTTTTTTGTTAACTGCTCTCAAATCCACTGAATGCAGGTGATAAGCAAACCATCCAAATTTTTGTTTTTGGCCTTTGACTAATCATACTTTCAACCAGATGAAAACTTATGTAGTGGCAACTTAACAGGTATAGATAGTGAGAAGTCCTACTCAGCATTCTTGTCTTGTAGGTGCTAGAATTGATTTATATGGTGAGAAATGTGCGTAAGACAGTACTGAACAAATGAATACTGACGTACTAAACAAAACCAGACTTCATGCCCAGAAGAATTTGCAGTCTGCTTAAACAAGAACAATAGAAAGTGACAACTGCAGTGTGTTAGGATAAATAAGGAGACAGCCATAAGAAATGTGGCGGGTTATAGGAGTAGTGTGTAGAAAATTGTAGCTGATATGCCTGTGACACACAGACCCCTTGGCAAAGGGTCTCCTGTTCAACTAGTCTCAGACCAGACAAACTTACTACACCAAATATACTGCTTCTAGGGTATTTGTCCATAAAAAGTAAAATCTCTATTGAAAGCATGCAACTTATCAATGCTATGAGTACAGTTATATTTATTGCTTAAATATTACATAACTGGAAACAGCTGAAGGAGCAGAAAAGCATTCTTTGAAGCCTGAAAGAGTGTGATCAATCATGTCTCAGTAGATAAGGCAGAGGATGGAGAACAGATATTGTAACTGAATAAGAACCATTTTAGTGGAGGGGCAAGGCCAAGTCCGATTTCAAGGAAACTGATATGCCAAGCAGTAGGAGCATAACACACCTTTTGAAGTTTAAAGAGGAAAAAGGGTGGCAATTGCATTTTAAAAAAAAATCTCTGGCACACAGTTTTTAAAAAAAATTGAATTACATATTAAAATAAGTTAACAAGGCCTACAACAAGGCTAAAAGTTCCATCCACAAGCAACTCTGGTCCTGTAATAACCTTATTATCTAGCTTCCATTCTGGCTTTCCCCTAAGATGTAGAATAAACTTTCATTTTTGTTACCTGGTATATTTAATGCCTTAAGGATTTGCAACTCTTGTGCAGATTACCTGTCCATCTAATCCAGTCTCTTATCTGCCACAGAAGGTGATAATGTTGGTGTTTCAAAGGAAGATGAGAACCCTAGATATGGCAAAAAATTTAGTATTCCTCCAATACCCAAAATAAAGATGAGATAGAGGGAAAATAATTCTCACCAACACAAGCAAAACCCACTTCACTCATTTGGCACGGCAGGTACTATTGCCCATATGTTGAATTAGGGGTCAGATGCTGCTATGCATAACCACATCAAAAGGCACAGTGAGACTCCACAGCTTCAACCCCATCACTTCCCAAGCAAGCCACAAAATCCCCACCCCTCTATCTCTGCAGAGAGCTGTATTCTGGCTCTGCACTTCAGACAGTAGTTGTGCTGCATTTTGAGTACCTCACAGCTACAGCAGAACTGGCCTACATCCTCTATTGTATGTAGTCAAATGTACAGTGCTAAAGCTGGCTGGCAATTTTTTTTAAACCCTTAACAATCAGATGCATTACCACAAGTGGCAAAAATCATCCAAGATTTTCCAACTATATAATTGATTTCCAGTGACTCCAACAGATTTTAAAATGATATTCAAGACAAATGCAGTCTTGCTTAGATCCTCTTGCCTTTGGTAGTTTAAGGAGCTTTCTTGGAAAGTTACACATATGGCAGGCACTGGTTTAGGAAGGAATATGCTCCAGTACACTACAGTTCTACTTTAAATAGAAAAACTGAAGTGAATTGCCCAGTCTTAATAGTTACAGCTTGGTTAAAACAGTGGTGAGGGAAGAGCCTTTTGTGTTTTAACCACCTGCTTCAGATGAAGTTTTGTCCTTGGTACTGCAACCAGTTTCAGTGAAGTGATGCTCTGAAAGCAGAGCTAACTACACCAGAGATTTGTGATACACAATTTGATGTAATGCAAGACTTTGTTCTATTTTGACCAAATTAAATTGGCAAAACATCACTCAAATATTTAAACAGAAAGGAGCACATACTGCTTATTTCTGTATGTGCAGTTCCCACTTGTTTGAAGGAGTTCTCCACCCTACCTTCTAAACCAGAGGGGGGCAAACTATGGCCCACAGGCCCCATCCGGCCCACAGGACCCTTCCCTCTGGCCCCCGAGCTCCTGCCAGAGAGCAGGGTCAGGACAGGCTTGTGGAGGAGCCAGGTCAACGCGCCAGCAGCGCAGTGAGCAGGGTGGAGCCTAGCCCCTGGCCCCTCCCCTTCTGCTCCCCAGTGCCTGGGCAGCATAGCTGCAGCTACAGCCAGTCAGCACAGCTATAGCACCACCAGACCTGGTGCTCCAGGGCAGCACAGTCAGGGAACAGGGGGAGTTCCCAGGGATGGGGGAGGAGAGCGAGGAGCATTAGGGGTTGCAGGGAGGCAGTCAAGGGGCCTGGGCCCTGCTGCTGGGGACAGGGGCAGAGCAAGCCAGGGCCCCCCCTCCACCACCACGAGAATGCTTGGCCCATCCCCAGCAGCTAAGCTCAGACATGGAGCAAGCCCTGTTCGACTGCCAGGGGGAGTAGCCAAATGAGCAGAGGAAACGCACAGGGAAAGGACTGAGTCCACCTTTCCCCCACCCCACAGGTAACATGAGCAGGGAGGGTTGGATGGGGGCAGGGAGACTCCGGGGGGGGGCAGTCAGGGGGGGGAGCAAGGGGGATTGGATAGGGGATCGGTATCCCGGGGGGATGGTCAGGGGGCAGAGAGCAGGGGTGTTTGGATAGGATGCAGGAGTCCCTGGGAGCAGTCGGGTGAGGAGCAGGGAGGGCTGGATGGGGGTTCCTGAAGGCTGAATGGGGGCAGGGTCCAGGCCACGCCACACGGTTTGGGGCAGCATAGCCTCCCCCCCAGCCATCCCTACCTGGCCACCATACAATTTTTGTACCCTAGGGCCAAAACGTTTGCCCACCCCTGTTCTAAACCAAATAGCAATGTTTACTTTCATTTTTGGTCCTCTAGGAGCAATTGTTTTCTAGGGATAAGACTAAAGAATCATTCAGTCCCTTTTCTGAAAGAGAATATTAAAAAGGGCAAGTTAAATAAATTAAGAGGAAAATGTTAGACTCCCAGACAGAGTAGCAGACACATTAGTGCCCACTACAGCGTTATTAAGACAGCTGTGCATTTATGTATATGAAGTATTCTCCACCTCTGCAAGTTAAATCTAGGTTTGAAAGTAACCTTATTATTATTATTTTTTTTTTGCCAACAACTGAGGTATAACAGAATATGATGAGAGCAAGGGTTGGTTTATTAGATTTTAAAGGGAAACATTAGAATCAGATCACTACATTCCCATGAAATTAAATGACTAGTATGACCATCACCCTTTGAGCCACAAATAAAATACAAGCCTGTCAAGTTAGTTCTTAGAATTGGCTTCCATTTGGCACAAGAGAAAAGTTAGCTTTCCAGTTGTTGGACATGCTGTAATATGTCCAGTGACAAGCCTAGCTGCTCTCCTAAGCAGGCGGTCTCTTCTTTAAGCCAAGCGAGGGTTGGCCTTTCAGAATGTGTGTGTTCTTTTGTCCTCCTCCAACTGTCAGACTGCAAGGAGTCAGCACCACCATTACTCCTGCAAGAGTTTTCACTCAACTCAGACTCATTTTCACAGAGTCTTCCAGTTTCAGTTGCATCAAATTCATTCTCCACTGGAACTGTATGACTAAGGTCCATGTCCTGAACAGAATCCAATAACTCTCCAAGGTGGGGCTGTGCACTGATAGAGTTCATATACTTAAGCACACATTTTTCATACTTGCCAACTTCAGCCAGGAGGTTATTTATTTTACTCAGCAAAGCAGAAATTTGTCCATTAAGGTGACACCAAGACAAGAGTGCACTGAAAAGAAAAACAAAACAGGTGGAAATAAAAGTGATTCTGTACACCTTCAGTGAGTTGCATGTTTGCTTGAGGTTGGGTGAAAAGGTGACCAAAGTTAAAAAGTAATTCCATTTTTGTATGGTTTCAGAGTAACAGCCATGTTAGTCTGTATTTGCAAAAAGAAAAGGAGTACTTGTGGCACCTTAGAGACTAACCAATTTATTTGAGCATAAGCTTTCGTGAGCTACAGCTCACTTCATTGGATGCATACTGTGGAAAGTGTAAAAGATCTTTTTATAGACACACAAAGCATGAAAAAATACCTCCTCCCACCCCACTCTCCTGCTGGCAATAGCTTATCTAAAGTGATCACTCTCCTTACATGATAATCAAGGTGGGCCATTTCCAGCACAAATCCAGGGTTTAACAAGAACGCCTGAGGAGGGTGGTGGGGGGTAGGAAAAAACAAGGGCAAATAGGTTACTTTGTATAATGACTTAGCCACTCCCAGTCTCTATTCAAGCCTAAATTGATTGTATCCAATTTGCAAATGAATTCCAATTCAACAGTTTCTCGCTGGAGTCTGGATTTGAAGTTTTTTTGTTGTAATATCACAACTTTCATGTCTGTAATTCAGGAAAAGCTGAATATTCAGCCAACTCACTGAACCACTAAGATCCTGTTAATTTCAAGTGAGAAATGGGAGGAGGGCTAAGAATTACCACACTACATTTTTGGTTCTGAAGAACAATTGTAATAGCAACAGCCACTATCACATAGTTGTGTAGTTCCTACTACACTACTATGTGTAGATGGTTGCACTGGGTTACGTACTCTTGCGTCCAAGGGCAGAACTGTGCTCCACAAGGATGCCTCAGCTAACAGAGCCAAGGGTAAGAAATGCTGAGGCAGAGTTCTCAGTGACAGGACCATGGCCCATACCTGAGAAAGTCAGACTGACCTCTAGAATGACTGTTCTGATTAAAATGCAAGACCAACTTTTTTGCTAAAGCCTTTACAGGTAACAGCATCTTTCTCACAGCCAATTTTCAGTTAGTGCTACCTAAAGAATTATGCCTAGTACTCATAGCATAGCATAGCATTTTAGGAATATTTTACATAATATAATCTGAAGTATGAAGTGATTAAGTAAAATTTTCCAAAGCACCTAGATGACTTGGGAGTCTAAATTGAATTTACTTTCAGTTTTTAAAATGGGATTTTAGCTCCAAAGTCACTTTTGAAAGTATTACCCTAAGTCTCCTCAGCAGTTGACGAACAGTAGATCCAGATTTTCATATAAACACACCACAGTCTCAAAGCTTCAACATTTACCTAAGGATCCCTTTGAGTTGGCCACAGGTCATCATCAACTCAGCACCCTGTTTGTAACCCCGATTGAAACCCTGCTGAAGTGAAAGCTCTTTCCCAGCCTCAACACCATCTCTGTAACCTTCCTGTAAGCAAGACGAAAGGTTACTGATATCAGTAATCCAGCTACGAGCAGAGATTATTTTACAAGAAATTATATACAAGAGCTCAAATCTATACAAACATTCAGGTTCTTGGAATGTGTCTTTCTAATTTAGCTAGATGCATGCAAAACTTGTATACTGTACCGTCCAGCAGAAATGAGAGAATCACAAAACTAGAAGAACAAAACAAACTTTTCTTGGTGTTTTATAAACATGATCATTTTGACTCCCTTTTTCAGAACTATATACAGTGAGGTCAAAATAATTGACTGTACTATAAAAATGTTTCTTTAGTCTACACACATAGTAACATGGATTAGAACAGCAATTCTTGTCCTCTTCCATACTGCAACCTCAAGTTTCAACAGCAAAAAAGTTTCAGGACCCCTTTTACCATCTTGCCACAAAAAAGGAATGGTAGTCACCACCCCCAGGCTGTGAAGCTATGAATGAAAACATAGAACTTGCTCTCAGAGATGTACTATTTTCTGCTCAAGGAAATTGGAGATGATGGAATTTCAACTATAAAAATATCAGATGTGGTAATACAAGGAGCTAGCATCAGGAGTATCTTGAAACAGCAGAATAAAGTTTCCTTGAAGTAGCCAAAATCCAGATGCCTTTTTCAAAGAACAATGCTCTGTCTAGGCCAGTGGTTTTCAACCTTTTTTCATCTGCAGATCCCTAAAAAATTTCAAATGGAGGTGCTGAGCCCTTTGGAAATCTTAGACATAGTCTGCAGACAACCACAGGTTGAAAACCATTGCTCTAGTCCCATAGCAGTACCCTCCCTAATCTATGGCCCCGACCATAGCTTTCCCTCCAACTGTTATTTTGATCAGATGTTGATCACCCAAGAGTGGAAGTTTAATGTTCCCGGCACCATGACTCATAGTGATGCTATATTTATTAAGAGTTTATTCAATCTCCATTAAAGTAAATGGCATGAGATCAAATCCTAAGGGTCTAATACAATACCAGCTGAAGTTGGAGTTTTGCTCTTCGTCTGACCCTGCAGGATTTTAAGATTTCTTTGTTAAAATGAGCCTTTATAAAAATTAATTTTTCACTGTTATTTTCAGTTCTATAGGAAGACAAATTAGAGGAATTACTACATATTGGTTACTATAGGGCTACAACGAACTGCTGATTTTTAATCTGGACCTGCCATTGATTTAAGTGGTGATTTCCACTATTTAAAAAAATGCTAAGATATGGCTCATACATCTTCATTTGCCTTGTTTAATTATATCACTCATAATTTACAAACACAGATCTCCTATCATGATACACCTGCTCTGAGTCTGAACTTTGTTTTGGTTAAATTCCATCTCTCTCTCTCCAGCCAGACAAACCAGATACCTGATAACATATGGCATTTATAGAATCATAGAACTGGAAGGGACCTCGAGAGGTCATCTAGTCCAGTCCCCTGCACTTGTGTCAGGACTAATTATCTAGACCAGTGGTTCTCAAAGCCGGTACGCCGCTTGTTCAGGGAAAGCCCCTGGCGGGCCGGACTGGTTTGTTTACCTGCCACATCCGCAGGTTCAGCTGATCGCGGCTTCAGGCCAATGGGGGTTGCGGGAAGTAGCACGGGCCAAGGGAGGTGCTGGCTGCCCTTCCCGCAGCCCCCATTGGCCTGGAGCAGCGAACCGCGGCCAGTGGGAGCAGTGATCGGCTGAACCTGAGGGCGTGGCAGGTAAACAAACTGGTCCAGCCCGCCAGGGGCTCTCCCTGACCAAGCGGTGGACCGGCTTTGAGAACCACTGATCTAGACCATTCCTGACAGGTGTTTGTCTAACCTGCTCTTAAAAATCTCCAATAATGGAGATTCCACAACCTCCCTAGGCAATTTAGTCCAGTTCTTAACAACCCTGGCAGGAAGTTTTTCCTAATGTCCAACCTAAACCTCCCTTGCTGCAATTTAAGCCTATTGCTTCTTATCCTATCCTCAGAGGTTAAGAAAAACAATTTTTCTTCCTCCTCCTGGTAACAATCTTTTTTCATACTTGAATATATATATATGTTCAATGTACTATGCAAACTCATTAATACTCATAACACACTTGGGAGATAGAAACATATTATTCCCTCATTTTATAGCTGGAGCAAATGTACTCAAGGCCAAAGAGCAGGCCAGTGGCAGAACTGAGATTAGAATTCAGAAGATTCTTCCTGCCAACCTGACCTCCCACTTTTGTCTTTTCCAAGGGAAACTGTGGCCAGGGACCATTTTGCTATCACTGTGATCTCCATCAATCAGGTGAACAGTTGCATAACTAAATTTGCATATTTTTGCCTCTGATGATCTAACCTCCTATTGAGGTTCAGGAATTTATACAAAGAACACCCATGAGTAGTTGGGGGAGTTACAAACATAAATATAGTATGCACCAAGAGCAGATTAGATATACAGAATTTTGGCTACAATTTCTCAGTTTGCAGGCACTCTCCCCCTAGAAGAATCTCAAGTGTGTTCTGGTCGGTAACATTTCCTTAATAACTCGCTCAGTTTTTAGTTTCATATGGAACAAATTGATCTACAATAATTTTTAAATAGCCATCCTCCATTTTCCCTTAAATCACTCATGCAGGTATCAATTTATGTATGAAAGAAAATGGCCAAAAGGCTACTAAAAATAAAGTAATGGTTATAAAAAATACTTTGACTCTTTTCTCCATGGTGCTCTTCCATTCTTTCTGCACTAGATGCAGTTCATCAGCATCTTCATCAAACACATCCTCACTGGGCCGGCTGACTGCAGCTTTCACCCACGACATCGTAGTAGTAACAACAAGGATTCCAGTACATGTGGTAAAAGTGTGAGAATCTGAGCAGTTCTTCCTCCCAGGCATCAAGTTAAAACCACAGGCAGCATGTACAAGTTTTGAGGAAAACTAACTAAAGAACCAGAAGGTCCTAGAACCTGGATGCACTTTACTATCACAGTACACCTGTAGAGATAAACAAATCAGACTGTCAAAGAAAAGCCACCTTATAAGGTCATAATTTCAGCCATCTCTTAATTTCTTTGTTTCCAATAACAGTAACACACCTATAGAGATCAAACTTACCATCCCTATTTTAGCATCTTTTATGCCTCGATTAGAAAGATTTCTTTATATTTTGAGTAAAAGGATTAGCTGTTTCCAGCTGAAGTTTATTAAAGATTAAAAGACTAAGTGGGTTGTTTTAACTTTTGTACTGAATAAAGCACAGAGAGGCTAAAATGACTTGGTTGGATCTGTGCAATCCAGAAAATGCAGCCACTTGAAAATGGCTTAAGAGAATTACAGCAAAGTCTGTTTTATGGACTCCACTTCCAATATGCAGTCTTCATCGTAAGCAACAACTTCCAAAGTTTTTAGTATTATTTTGTTCAATCTTTAGGGAGGGGAGATGCTCTAGTAGTTAAAAGACAAGACTGGGGATCCAAGAATCCTGGCTCCTGTTCAAAGTCACACACATCTCCAAACTGAGTCACTTAATGTATTTATACCTCAGTTTCCCCATCTGGAAAACATGGATAATACACATATTGCCATCTCACAGAATTGTTATCAGGCTTAAGGTATTCATGTCTGTAAAGCGCTTTGCAATCACAGAATGGAAGGCGCTATGTAAGTACCAAATATTATAGTTTAATTAAACCACCATCACTAAATGACCTGTTTTTATTGGTCCCTTAAGTACTTTGACAGCAGTCCCCAAAATTGGAAAAGCTAATAAAAAAAGGTGCAGGGGCAGAAGGAAGGAAAGAAAGAGCATGTAAACAGGAAGAAAAGAGGTCCAATAGGTCAGAGATCAATTGACTTGAACCGAAAAGAAAGAGAGGATCACTGGCTGAAATTTAGAAGACTGCTCCATAGACTGGCCCCCTGGATAACGGGACAACACAAGGAAAGCCTGAGGACAGAAATAGTAATTCCACTCCAATGCCCTATCTATTACGCCACCCTGCTTCTTCTGGGACAAAGCAATAAAGCAGACTGGAGGGACTGATGAGAGATGTATACAATACAGATATGTCTGTCCACTTGCATTCCTCTGTTACTGATAAGAGAGGTGTGGTGGTACACATTTTCATATACAAAAAGAAAAGGAGTCCTTGTGGCACCTTAGAGACTAACAAATTTATTTGAGCATAAGCTTTCGTGAGCTACAGCTCCCCTCATCGGATGCATTCAGTGGAAAATACAGTGGGGAGATTTATATACACAGAGAACATGAAACAATGGGTGTTACCATACACACTGTAACCAGAGTGATCACTTAAGGTGAGCTATCACCAGGGGGGGGGGGGGGGGGGAGAATGGGACGACGACGCACCCCTTTTGTAGTGACAATCAAGGTGGGCCATTTCCAGCAGTTGACAAGAACATCTGAGGGACGGTGGGAGTGGGATAAACACGGGGAAATAGTTTTACTTTGTGTAATGACCCATCCACTCCCTCTCCTGCTGGTAATAGCACATCTTAAGTGATCACTCTCGTTACAGTGTGTATGGTAATACCCATTGTTTCATGTTCTCTATGTATATAAATCTCCCCACTGTATTTTCCACTGAATGCATCCGATGAAGTGAGCTGTAGCTCACGAAAGCTTATGCTCAAATAAATTTGTTAGTCTCTAAGGTGCCACAAGTACTCCTTTTCTTTTTGCGAATACAGACTAACACGGTGCCTACTCTGAAACCTGTCATTTTCATATACAGGCACCCATGTTATCTTCAATCCGCTCCCATTCCCAAAAGTCACACTTTTCCCACTCCCTTCCCCTATTATCACAATGCTTTCCTAGTAAACACTTTGAGACAAAGAGCACAATATGCAAGGAGAAAATAGTTTCTGTTGTCCTGTGTGCTTCACTCAATTCCTTTCCCCACACCAGGGCCACAGGAAGAGAGATAAGATGCCTTCCTAACCCCAAGCATTTAAAAATTATGAATGAGACCTCAAAATAAAATATTCACAATCCAGCTGTCTTAAAAATAATATATTTTGGGTTCACTTTATTTGCCTTTTGATGCTGGAGCCTTCAGAGTTTGCATTTTCAAGTCGTCCCTCCCCCTTCCTCCCCAACCATGCGGATTAGATTTTTTTTTAAGTGAAAGCCGAGACCCTTGGCTAACAGCACGATTACAGCCGCTGGGTATCAAGAAATATGACGTCATAACTAAATACTTGGCATGAGAGTTGGCAATCCTGAGGACCATCATCAAACCAAACCAGTCAAAAATCCCCCCAGACAAAAGTAAATTCATTCACATGAGATGAAAACAAAGCAAGCAAACAAAACACTCCCCAGGACAGATATTTTAGTTATGTTTGTATTTCTCGTCTACTTCCCACACGTTATCCAGGGGCCATCGTACATTGTGCCACACGCCGCCATTTTTACTTCTGGGGGCTCCTAATTCTGTAGTAGAAGACGATTTCCCCCTCCCAGTTTGTGCCTGATCATTTCACAGAGACAAATTCAACCTCAGTCTCTCTCTCTCTCTCTCACACACACACACACACACACACACACACACACACACACACACACACGCGGGGGGCGGGCGGGCAGAGCCTCCTCTTTCAGGCGGGGGAACTGAGATTTCTCTCCCTCCAGCGCCGACTCGCTCAACCTGCTACCCCCACACGGTCATCCCTTACCAGAAGGGCAGACTCTTCTGCCAGGGCTAGCAGCCCGCCTTGCTCGCAGGCCCCGGTGGAGAACAGAGCGCGGCCATTTTGTCTAAGGGCACGCTACCTTCACACCCGCTGGAAGCAACGGGGGGAACAGCAGCCATCTTTGCTAAGGGCGGCCTCACCGCCACCCCCCGCGGCAGAGGATGCAGGGAAACGGGCGGCCATCTTAACAGACCGGGCTTCACACCCACTTGAGGCAATGGGGGGGGGGGGGGGGAGAGCGGAGTTGGCGGCCATCTTTAATAAGGGCAAAAATCGTTCCTGGGCAGCCGCAGCTCGAAAATCGCGGCCATGGCGTCGCCTTCTCGTCAGAAGGCGGGGCTGGGGCTGGGGCTGGGGCGGGCCTTGGGGCAGCCCCCGGGTTCTACGGCCAGCTTGGCACGCTTGTGCCCGGTGGCCGGGCTGGGAGCGCCTCAGACCCTTGCGGGGAGGTAACCGTGGCAACAGGGATTAAATCCCGGCCAGAGAGGACGCGCCCCGGGGAGCGGAGCTGGGGCAGCAGCTGCAGCTCACCTCACCCCCGCCCCTCCCTGTCATGAGACAGACTTAAAAATAAGAAGAGTTGAAGGCAGATAAAGGAGTGACTAAAACATGCGTTCTTTTGCTTTGTCTTTTGAGCCTTAAAGGTGCACGTGGATCACGCTTTCAAATGTGCTCCATTACCAGGAAGTGCAAAATGCAAAAAAAAAAAAAAAAAAGGTTGAGATTCTCATCTAATCACTTGACTCCAGGAGGTGGGTCTCTAAGAAACACCAATATTGTGCTAGGGTTGTCGCCTGTCTGGGTTTTACCTGCACAGTCCACTTTTTGGCTTTTGTGTCTGGGTGCCCAGGTGCCTGGTTTTCAACAGGACACCAAAATCCTGGTTACGGGGTGTGGGGGAAGGCGCCGGACCATTAACCTTTGCTGGCCCCTGCTCAGCTGGAGCTGCCTCCTACCTGCCTCCTACCTGAGGCGGGGCCTCAGGAGTCTGGTTACCAGCAATTAGAAAAGTGGCACTCCTACCTGAGATTTATGCTAAAATTCTCAAGAGCTGGCAACACTGCGCGTGACCTGCCTCTGGAAACCAACCTCGCTGCGGGTTTTTTTTGCCATTGCCATTGCCATTGCCAGTCCCCAAGGACCACCTGATGCCACAAGTGGATCATGGGGCCAACAGCTTGACTCACAGGGACTGTGTGATGATTCGTGGTGCCCTTGAGCTGTCAATATGGATTGTGTAGTGCCTAGAACCACTATGGAGACAATACTAATGTGTCTGATGCTCCGATGTGAACATCATAGAGGGAACTGGGGATAGAACAGAGTCACTTTATACCCTTAGCTGTGTCTGTGAAATGCATGATGCCACAGAACTATCTAGGAAAATTCACTCTCCAGATATGTAAAAACAAGACCTCAACATCCCAAAACCAAAAACCAACTAACTCCCCAAGCTCCCATGATCATACTGTGACAATGAGGGCCCAGACACCACAAGGGGAGAACAGGGGATTTGAACCCTAAAGAATAAGTAGTTGAATTAACTGATTATATAAAATGTTATTGTACTATAAAAGTATATTGACTCAGGTCTTTTATGAAAGCTTGTAATGTTCTGAACTTGATGGTCATTATGAGGTATGTCTACAGACCGTGGTAATATATGTATTTGTGTAGATATACAGCTTTGCTCATAACTTGTTCTGCAACATTCAGATCCACGTCACACCAGGGCAGTTAGGCAGGGAGGGGCTGCCTCCCCAACCCGAGGCAACTAGCTCCAAGCACCTAGTATTGTACAACCCTGGGAAGGACAAATGATGGGCCATTAGAGTTAATGGGAAAATGTTGAAACATTCTGGCTAGAATTTCCCCAATCTGAATAACCATGAATCATCATAGTCAGAGAAAGAGAGGGGAAAAAGGAGAAATCCTTTTAAAAAAGAAGGGGTTTGAACTGAAGACTATCCAGAAACTGAGGCCTGGTGTACACGACACAGGTCGACGTGAGGCAGGTTGCATTGACCCAATTATGTCAATGTATGCACTACAGCCTTGTCCCTCAGATGTAAGTGCCCTACTACACCAACATTATAACTCCATCTCCATGAGAGCCATAAGGCTTATGTCTTAGCAGAGCTAGTGGAAAATCACAGGTGACAAGACAGTGCTTGGAGTTACATAGGCGAGTCACATGTCCATGCATGACTCCACTTAGACAGAGTAGGAAACCATTACCTGTACCCTAGACAGAACGTTCACAAGACAGTCCATTCAGTGTAGATGGGCATCTTCCATTGTGAGTTAAGTGTCATTTTGATGAGCCACTTAATCTGAATAGTCCCTCCAAGATGTGCTGGCTAATTACCTTGTGGACGTTACCCCAGGAGCAAACATTTGAAATCCAGGTATAGAGCCAATACTCATAACTTCAAATACAAAAATGATACATTTATACAAATAGCAGAATTATATTCAGCGAGTCATAACCTTTCCACAGACACCTTACTTGACAACCTTTGTACAAGATTTGTTGCAAATATATAACAGTGGTTGCAACAATGACCTATATGGTCATATTTTAATCAGATAATGTCACCCAAGGACACAAAGGATTTGCCAGACATGATCAGTCCATCAGATTAGATATGCTGCTTCTCATACTGGCTTAAACCATACATGATGCTCTAGATAAGCCACGGCTTCTCATCAACAACTAACTTCTTCCCTTTCACTCATTAATATCCATCTTTCTTTAGTTCATCCACCCAATTTTACAAAACAGGAGATAAATAGTTAGTTCTGGCTCCTATTTTCAAAAGAAATACAAACAATTCAATTACACCACTCTTGTGAGTAAAGGTTACAGGATTAGAGCTCAAGTGAAAGAAGCAGGCAAAGGTTGAGTGTTTTTACACTTGGTATTTGGGCTGCTCTGGGGGTTGATGCAGCCCCTGGCATAAATTAGAATAGCCAAGGGCTCCCTATTGTCTGCTTTGCAGTTCAGGACAGCCCAGACTTTCACTACAAAAACTTTTATTGCAATCCTCTATTGCCCCTGGGACATCACTTGTGCTAAGGCTTATGATGGGACTATGGTAGGGCCACTTACGGTGACTCTATGCTGTACATGTGCTGGGGAAATTCTACTCTAACTGTGATATGTTGTTGTAGCAGTGTATGGGGCTGAGGTAGGGGATGGACTTAAGTGATGGTTGAGTTCAGTGCAGGGACAATGATAGCTAAGGGAAAGAAGAATAGAACCAGATGAGTAAATAAGCCGCTGTTGAGCAATGTGAAGTGTGGAGAACCTCAAGGTATAATATAATCAACAGTGTTACTGCAAGGGTTTGGGCACACCAGTCCTTCCTAGATGTTTGGTGGTTTGGTGGCTTTCTGTGTACCGTAAGTTTAGAGACAAGGGATGTAGACTCATCAGGCTCTAAAGGCTCTTGAGTAACAGATCATTACTGTTCTAAAGCTGCCAGAAACCAAACGGTGCAATGACCCTAGGCACAATGACTTTAAGTTACAATAAAGAATCAATCCAACAGTTCCTAAACCCTGCCCCTATGGGCAATATGGTACAAGGATATAAAGGTAACCGTGTCTCACTATATACATCCTCCAGTCTGCAGGCCATTGCCCTATATCCTCCTGCCTATAATGAGATGTGGGTGCCCAGCTCTCATGTTGCCTGCTCCCCAGCCTTCCCTCTACAGGTAGTTTCCATGTTGCTGCCTCCAGCCTGCTACTCCTGCTCACATGCAGCCTACGGGTGCACTACAGATGCTATGACGACACAGCTACAGTGCTACAGTAGCACCATTGTGTAGACACGTGCTACAGTGACAAAAAGTTTTTTTTCCATTGGTGTAGTTAACCCACCCCCTCAAGAGGCGGTAACTAGGCTGATGGAAGAATTAGGGTGACCAGATGTCCTTATTTTATAGGGACAATCCTGATATTCAGGGCTTTGTCTTATATCTGGTCACCCTAGGAACAATTCTTCCACTGACCTAGCGGTGTCTATAAGCAGCTTAGGTTGCCTTAACTATGTCCCTGCACGGTGTAGCTAGGTAGATCTAAATTTTAGGTGTAGAGGCCAGGCCTATGGTTCCCTCCTGAGCCTGGTCCCTCTCTGACCTCAGTATATTATTTATTTTTCTTGTACACTGGTGATTATGGAGCGTTCTACTAGCTTGATGTTGAGCTAGGTCATTCAGTGACCTCCACTGTCTAGATCCTTTCCCTCCAGCCCAATCAGGGAGGATGGAAGATACCCAGTAGTGAGCCAGCAGGGTTAATTTGAATGCCATAGACTTAATGTGATTTTAAATATTGCATCTCCTAGCACAGGAGGCAACACCTGAAATTAACCAACAAAAGAGTTAAAACTGAACCCCTAGATAGGGTGACCAGACACCAAATGTGAAAAATCGGGACGGGGGGGGGGGGGGGGTAACAGGAGCCTATATAAGAAAAAGACCCAAAAATCAGGACTGTCCCTATAAAATCGGGACACCTGGTCACCCTATCCCTAGTGATGATTATGGTATGTCATGGCAACATGTATATTACCTAGCTCTTTCATAGCACCTTCTATTCAGAAATCTCAACGTACTGGACAAGCATTAACAAACCAAGTCACACAACACTCCTGTGAGGAAGGTAAAGGATACTGTACTTAGGAAACATTTCATCTCCCTTTGGGACTATTTCCCTTGCTTAACAGCACCCAGCACCACTGCACAACAGGTTAGGACAAAATATCCCACTGAAAGTGGAGGAAGAAT